AGAAAGAAAGAAAGAAAGAAAGAAAGAAAGAAAGAAAGAAAGAAAGAGAAAGAAAAAGAAAAAATGAGGCTGTCAATTACCAAGGAAGTGCAGTATATAATTTGGACACCAGATGGTGCTATGCTCAGGCCACTAGCCAACTGGCCTCCTCAAAAAGTATTCAAGGCAAAAACAGCAGTCATTCCCCGACTGATAGATGGTCATTAGAGGGCAACACCAACCGCCCAGTCCCTCAGCCTCACAACCCAAGAGAAATCCTGATTCCTCACTCTGTCTCACCCGACCCCTCCCATTCAATGTGTTTGCCAAAGTTTGCCAATTTCACTTTTGCCACATCTCTCCAATACATCCCCTTCTCTTCCCCGACATTGTTACCTCTTTAGTACAAGCCCCCATCACCATACTTATAGCTGCTGGTGGGTGTGTCTGCCTCAAGTCTCTCCCCAATCTAGACCATTATCCAATCAGCCACTAAAGCAATTTTCCTGAAGCACAGATCTGACTGTGTCAGTCCCTCACTCAATAAACTTCATTGGCTCGCTCCAGGATCAAATACAAAATGCTCTGTTTGGGGGGCAGCTAGGTGGTGCAGTGGATAAAGCACAGGCCCTGGAGTAAGGAGCACCTGAGTTCAAATACAGTCTCAGACCAGATACTTGACACTTACTAGTTGTGTGACCCAGGGCCAGTCACTTAACTCCAACTGCCTCGCAAACAAAAATGCTCTGTTTGATAGCCAGAGCCCTTTATACTCTAGCTCCTTCCTACCTTCCAGTCTTCTTACACATTATTTGCCAACACAGAATCATGGATCCAGTGACAATGGCCTCCTTGTTGTTCCATAAACAAGACTTTCTCTGCTCTGGGCATTTTCTCCGGCTGTCCCCCATGCTAGAAACACTTTCCATCTTCATCTGTCTACTGACCTCCCTGACTTTAGCTCTGGACTAAAATTCCATCTTCTACAGAAAACTTCCCTCTCTTAATTATGTCCTATTTATCCTGCATATAGCTTGTTTGCATACATTTGGTTTCTCCCTCTTTGAGCTCTTGGAGGACAGGGACTGTCTTTTGCCTTTTGTCTCATCAATACTAAGCACAGTGCCCAAGTAGGTACCTAACAAATGTTTATTGATTAGTTGATTAGCTAAAGCTGTAGCTGAAAAGAGTTTTGGGAATAGGACCAGGGACATTAACAAGATGTAGCAGCCTCAAATAAAGAGAGATAAGACACCCCAGATCTACCCCTTCTTGGGGGGGGGGAAGGAGGTCCACAGGTGCGGTTTTAGGACATTTTCAATGCATTGGTCAGTCGTACCGACTTTTTTTGCATTCTAATGTTATTTGTCCTATAGGGTGGATCTCTGAGGAGAGAGAGAGATCTTTAGGAAAACTATGGTGATGTAAGAAACAAAAATATCGACCTGAGACACCTAACACTCACTAGCTGTGTGACTCTGGGCAAGTCACTTAGCCCCAACTGCCTCACCAAAAAAAAAAAAAAAAAGAAACAAAAATATCAATAGAAAGTTTTTTAAAGAAGAAAAAAGGGAAGGTGTCCCAGTGCCTCCAGGGATAGTCCTGCCGGCCAAGTCTGACCCCCCGCAGATGCTCCAGAGCATGTGAGGACTTAGCTACGTAACAGTGCATACTAGGCTCAGTTTCTGACCTAAGACTGAGTGGGCGGGGCTTAGGATAAACACTGCGCGTGCGCAGGGAAGGACGTCTTCCGAGGGCCAGGCTGAAGCGACTTCGGTGACGCAGACACGTGGAGCGATTTCGTGAGTGCTCGTCGGCTCTGCGCCTGCGCAGCAGGACGACGGGACTTGCTTGACGGCTGCCGCCGTCGCCGGTTGCCGTGGTGACGCTGGAGCGCTTGACGGCCGGGCGGTCTCTTGGTGGAGGGGTAAGGGGGCGGCTGAGGGGACTCGTGTACCGAGGGGGTGGTCAGAGGGCGGTCTCTGTAGGCCCTGAGCGGGAGCCTCCGGGAGAGCCCTCGGTGGACGTGGAGGCCCCGCCGGGACCGGGGACCGGGCCGGGAAGCACAAATGGATGGTCCCCGACGTGGGGATAACGTTAATAGCTAGCGCATGGGCATAGCGCTTCGGGGCGTTCAAAGCGCTTTCCGTACGTTGTCTCGTGGTCCTCACAGCCTCCCCGCGAGGCAGAGATGCCCTTGTTATCTATTTCACAAACGGGGAAACTGAGGCTCACAGCTGAAGTACGTGACCTCGGAAGCCGCGGACCTTTCTGGCCGCGAGCCCCCTCAGCTGCCCTCACTACGTGGATGGTGGGCAAGTCCACAAACAGGAGGTAGAACTCTTCATCCTTAATTGATCTAGGCAAGGCAGGAGCCATTTGTGAAGCACCAACTGTGTGCCTGGCGCTGGTGCATGCGCAGAGAAAAGCAGACACAGCCCGGGGCCCTCCCCCCCCGGAGCTCGCGTCCCATGGGGCAGGGGCGTGCGGATAGCTGTGTACGGACCAGACGCGTGCACCGCGTAAGCTGGAGACCAGCCCCGCGGGGAGGCACCCGCTGTGTGGGGAGCCAGGAAAGACTCCTCGCAGAAGGTGGGATTGAGACTGGGTCATCGTCCGAATTCAGCCTTTAAAGTGATTTTCCTAAAGCGCTGGTCCTATCATGGAAGCCCCCCACCCCCTCCAGTGGCTCCCTATCGCCTTAAGGATCAAACACAAAGTGCTGTTTGGCATTCAGAATTTACCCCCGCCTAGTCTTCTTACACCTACTCTTTCATCCAATGACCTGATAAAGACTCCTGGCTATTCTAGGAACAAAATATTCCATCTCTTGGCTCTAGGCTTTTTTTCTGGCTGTCTACCATGCCTGGAACACTCTCCCTCCTCCCTTCTGGCTTCTTTTAAGTCCAAACTAAAATCCTACCTTCTATAACAAGCCTTCCCCAACTCCTCTTAATTCTAAAGTCTTCCCTCTCTTAATTATTTACTATTTATCCTAAATATAGCTTGCTTTGTGTATATTGGTTTGCGTGTTGTCTCCCCCATTCGATTGTATGCTCCTTGAGGGCAGAGACTGTCTTTTGCTTGTTTTTATATCCCCAGCACTTAGCACAGTGTCTGGCATATAGTAGAACCTTAATAAATGTTTGTTGATTGATAAAGAGGAGAAGGAAGAAATGTCAAGGTCTCCAGGTGAAAGGAACCACAAAGAATGTGTAGTCCAACTCCCTCTATTTACAGATGAAGAAACTGAGGCACCTAGAGGTTAAAAGACTTTCCCCAGGGTCACACAGCTAGTGTCTGAGGTGAGATTTGAACCAGGCTCTTCCTAATACCAAGCAGAGGCTAGAGACTGCTTTACCCCTTATGATTCACAAGGTGTTCTTTATTTACATGTTGACCTAGTCTCTGAGATCCATTTGGTCCATTTTTGTGGTCCTTTGAAGATATAATGCTTTGAGAAGTTTGAGGAGGCATCTGAGTTGGGCCTAGAAGGAAAGGAGGGACTTCTATAGACAGATACAGGAAGGAGGCAGTTCCAGGCTGGGGCCAATAGAAGTAAAAGGCCATAGGTAAGAGAGGGCAGGGGAGAGGGAGAATGGAGCCACAGTGGTCCAGCCAGACTAGGACGGACAGGTGCTAGCTGTTACGTCCTACTTCTCTACGTTTACACATTTCATATCAAGGCAACGAATATTCATGCTCAAACACAAGAATCTCCCTATCACTCCTCTGCTCAAAAAACTCCCAAGGCTTCCTATTGCCTTTGGGATCAAATATCTGCCTCTTTGTTTGGCATTTAAAATCTTTTCCATATGCCTTCATCCTTTCTTTCCAGATGGTTGTTGCTCCTTCTCTTGCACTTTACTTGTAGTCACACTCTCCTAATTGCTTTTCCCTAACATTTCCATCTGTCTCTGAGCCTTACTCCATCCCTAGATTTCCCTCCCTCCTCACCTCTACTTCTTGGAATACCCAGCTCCCTTCAAGTCTTATCTCTTACCTCTTAAGTGAAACTTTATCATATGTATGGGACCTTTGCTGGTGCTGTTTTTATCAGTTAACTAGCATTTATTAAGCACCTACTGTTTGCTAGGCACTGAGGATACAAATAAAGGAAGGAAAAAAAAACAGCCCCTGGTTCCAAGTGGGGTCCCCAAGTCCAGTGGAGGAGACAACATGCAAAATAATGGTGTACAAACAAGCTGTATACAGGATAATTTGGGGGTTGTCTCAGAGGGAGGGCACTAAGATTAAAGAGAACTGGGAAAGAGTTCTTGCAGAAGATGGGACTTCAGCTGAGACTTGAAGGAAGCCGGGAGGTGGAGATGAGGGAGAGAATTCCAGACCTGGGTGACAGCCAGGGGAAATACCTGAAGTGGGAGATGTGCTAAGCACAGCAAGGAGGCCAGTGGCACTGGGTCTCAGGAAATGTAGAGGGGTGGAAGGGGCCAGATTATGAAGGACTTTAAGAGCCAAAGAGAGGATTTTACATTTGGTCCTAAAGACAATAGGGAGGCCACTGGAGTTTATTCAATAGGGGATTGATATGGTCAGACCTATGCATTAGGAAGATCAGTTTGACAGCTGAGTGGAGGATAGATTGGAGTGGGGAGAAGCAAGGAGACCAACCAGTGGGCTATTTCAGTAACCCAGACGTGATGTGATGAGAACCTGACACAAGGTAGTGACAGTGTTAGAGGAGAGAAGGGAACATGTATGAGAGATTTTGAAGGTAGAAACAACAGCGCTTGACAAATGATTGGATGTGGGGGTTGAAAGTGAGGAGTCAAGGGTGAAACCTAGTGACTGGGAAGAGTGTGGTGTCCTTAACTCTAATAGGGAAGTTAAGAAGAGATGAGGATTTGGGGGGAAAGATGCTTATATAATGTCTTGAGGCCTGCAAAGCGCTTTTCACATACATTATCTTATAGAAGCTGCACAATAACCCTGTGATAAAATAGTGCCGATTTTATAAATGAGGAACCTGAGGTCAGAGAAGTTAGGTAATTTCCCTGTAGTCACACAGTGAGTGGAATCTTCCTAGAGGCCAGGCCCAAGGGGGTAGCTAGGTGGCGCAATGGATAGAGCACCAGCCCTGAAGTCGGGAGGACCTGAGTTCAAATCCGGCCTCAGACCAAACACTTGACACTTATAGCTGTGTGACCCTGGGCAAGTCACTTAACCCCAATTGCCTAAAAAAAAATAAAATAGAGTCCATGTCAGGACAAGACATACACACATGCATCTACTACATATTAGAATGTCGTTAAGTGCGTGAGAAGGATATAAAATACTCGGAGATTGGATAAGGAAGGCTTTACTTCCACTTAAGGAGACTGGGAAAAGCTTTCTGGAGGAGAAAGTATTTGAGTTGGGTCTTAAAGAATTTAACTGAAGCAAATCTCAAGATGCTAAGGGTATAAAGCACAGGTGTCCATCTTGGGCCCTCCTGGAGCTGCTGGAATCTGATGTCTTAAGAAATGTTTAACATAAAAATACAATAAAACATAGATGGTGTTAATTTGTGGTTTTCTAAGTCAATGTGAGACCCCCCCCCAAGGAGATTGCTTCTATTTGAGTTTGACACTTCCGGTATAAATGAACTATATAGCTTACTACCTAAATGTAGAAATATGTGATTTTAGTGTTGGATAAGATGAGATGAAAGTTAGTATCATGACAGACTTTTAGAGAAGAAGTCTGCCTCACAGGGTGGTTCTAAAAATAAAACAACACAATGTCTGTGAGCCTTAAAGCTGTATCCCAAATTAGTATTGATGTTGCTCTACCGGCTCCACCTGAGCCTGGCTAGGATGTTGTAAATATTTTAGTGACTCTTAGGTGATGTGGAAAGATAGCCTGATCAGGAAACCTGTGGTCTGAGGCATTTTTGCCTGCCATCCATCCCTCCAGCCATTGAAAGTTCAACACTTACCAAGTGCTTATTATGTGCAAAGCACTATGTGAAATGACTGGAATACCAAAGTAAAAAAAAACTTGCACAGACCCTTCTCTCAAAGAACTGCTCCTCTCTCCCCTACAAGTATTCAAAATTTCAATGGTTACAATTTTTTCAATTCGTGAAAATACCAGATTGGCTGCCCGGAAGGTTGGAATCAGATTCTGGAAAATGAGATTTTGGACAAGGGATAGAGAGGCTCATAGAAGACAAAATAGACAGTTTTCATTATATAAAATGTAAAAGTTTTTGGATAAACAAAACCAATGTGATTGTTATATGAGAAATATCTCCTCTCTAAGTTCATATGGTTGGTTACTGCTGCCAAATACATATGTTTACCACAGTGCAGAAATTATGAGCAGTGAGGTGACTCAAAGGATAGAGTGCAGGCCTAGAGTCAGGAAGACTCATCGTCTCTGTTCAAATCTGGCCTTAGACACTTACCAGCTGTGTGACCCCGGGCAAGTCATTTAATTCTGTTTGCCTCAGTTTCCTCATCTGTCAAATGAGTTGGAGAAGAAAATGGCAAACCACTCCAGTATCTTTGTGAAGAAAACCCTAAATGAGATCACAAAGACTCAAGACACGGGATTTTGACAAGGCTTCTTATAGGAAACATTATGTTAGAGTGACTGAAAAATAATTCATCTACATATTGCAATCTTGTACATTCCTCTTAGGCCATAAAAGTTAAAGAGAAGATAGATCCATAATCCCATACTTCCTTCAGTATCATAAAAGTTGAACAAATTTATTTAAACAGTCATAATTTCATGCATCCCCTAAGGAAACAAACTTCATCACACAGTAGGTAAACCAAATTAGGTTACAGATTAAATTGCATTTAGAGGATCACAATTAGGCTGATTAAGGAAGAGGATTTACATCTTGCCCAGGAGTCAGGGATAGTTGATATTTCTCTTCTGGCTTCTTATCTAAGGAATACTTAAGTCACATAAGTAAATTTTCATATCCTTTGGGACGGGTTTTGGTCAGTTGAGGTTAATATTAACCAAAAGATGCAAGAGAGGAATAAAAGGAAATAAAAAATCCCCCCAAAATGATTAAAATTAGAAAGAAAGCAATGGGGGGGAGTTTTGCAACAAGTTTATCTGATAAAGGTCCACTATCCAACATACATAACAAAATAACAAACTAATTGAAACACACACAGACAAGCAACATTCCCCTGATAGCAAATGGTCAAAGGATATGAATTGGTAGTTGTCAAATAAATAGAGCTATTAACAGTCATGTGGAAAATATACCAAATCACTAATAGTTAGAGAAATGCATATTGAAACACTGTGGTTCCACCTCATACCCATCAGATTATTAAAGACTTGATGAAGCATACTATTTTCCTCCTAACAGAGATATGATAGACTCAAGGTACATAATGAGACCATATTTTTTTTTGACCAGGCTAGTGTGAGGATTTGTTTTCCTTGACTATGCATATGTGTCCCCCGGGTTCTGCTTTTTTTGTTTGTTTTCAGTGGGGGGCAGGGAAAGAAGAATTGGAGGATGAATAAGGTCATTTAAAAGAATGTTATTGAACCATTTTTTTTAAATGCACAGAAATGAAAAGAAGGGAATAGATGAGCAGGACAACTTTAAAAGTTTACATAATGAATTTATACTTAAAAGGAAAAGCAAGATGCATGTATTAGAGTTTTGTGGTTTCAGGTAAAATCCTTTTTCTGTTTTCCCGTGCACACAGATATGTGTGCATTTTATTTGGCATTAAGTTCAGGACAAAAATAAGACTTAAAAAATATTGGGGACCTTTATTAGCCACTTACTTGGACTGTTGGAAAATAGCCCTCACTACAGCTCTGTTCTACTCAACTTAATTTGTTTAAATTTCTGTTTTTATCACTATGATCTACTTAAGAACTTACAGTGATTCATTTGTGGTATTAGTGTATTAGTCCTATTAGTGTATTAGTCCTAAGACTACAAATACCTACCTTATGTAGCAAAACTGTCCTACACTCAACCTTTTTGGGTAGTAAAACTGCAATTAACATCTTATAAACATCCTTCTAAGTACATAAGTCCAAATTTAGCCTTTGATTCAGTGCTCTTCAGTAATTGTTCCACTCTTAAATATTTATTTAGCCTTTTCTCCTAATACTCTCCATTATAATTCCTCTATTCCAATTGGAACAAATCTTCATATCATCCCTGTCTGTCCCCTGACAAAAAGCCACCTCTGTTTTTCCCTATGCCTGGAATGCTTTCACCTTTCTCTCTTCAAAACCTGTATTTCTTTCATTGCCTACCACAAGATTCATATCCTTCATGAAGTAAACTTTCCTACTCTAACTTCAGCTCATAGCAAGACAGCATGTAGAACAGTCATCATAGAGACTTGAAGTCAGAGGATGAATTTGAGTCAAAACTCAATCTTTTGTCAGCTGTGTGACAGTGGGTGGGCAAATCACTTAAGTTCTTTTAACCTTAGTGTCCTAATCAGTAAAAAGGATTATATTTGTACTCTCCCCTTTGTAGGGTTGTTGTTAGTTGTAGGTACTACATACATGTGAGTTATTATTATTTTTATATTTTCTTCCCAGGTTTCAGTGCTCATCCATGTGGTACATACTGTATATACATTTCCCCAGGACAGAAAATAGTATACCAGATAGTAGTGATAAAATTATCTAAATGCATCATTGTGTTCAGCACTATATTAGATCATTCCAGTGCTTTGTGCACTGATGCTTATCAATAAATATTATTGTCTGGTTTTTTGCTTCTAGTTATCCATTGGTTAAGGAGCCTCAGAAGATGGCAGAAGCAATATTCCACGCCCCAAAAAGGAAAAGACGAGTTTATGAGAGTTATGAATCACCATTCCCCATCCCGTTCTGTCAGGAGGTTACACTTCAAAGAGATTTCAAAGTATACCGTGCTGAAATTATCAACAATAATGTAATCGTAAGGAATGCAGAGGCTATTAAACAGTTGTATGGTAAGGTAAGTATTAAGTGTTTTAGTTCCTTTAAAGAATTTATCATAACTTAGGCATACAGCAGGAGTACCCAGTTTGGAGATTTATCTTATACAGGCTTAAAGAGCTACTTGGTAGGGAATTCCTGCTTTAGAGAGTGTATACTATTCTTTTTGGATGTTTTCCTAGTAGTAATGGTGGGCTTGGCTCATGTCATACATAATCAGTCTCTTCTTCCATTGCGACCAGTGGGTTCTCATCATCTCCCTGTCTCTAGAAGTAGATGATATGGTTATATAAAATAAAGCTTTTATCAGAAAAGCTAATTGGTCTGTACAGGAATGGAAACTGATCTTGTTCTCATTAACACTCTACTAATTATCTGTGTTCAAGGGAACACTCCTTGCTTACCTATGAGAAATAAATAACCATAAAGATACAAGGATATCACAAGTAGATGTTTATCTCCTTTGAATGCTCACTATTTTTGTTTTTGTTTTTGCTTTTTTGGTGAGGCAATCAGGGCTAAGTGACTTGCCCAGGGTCACACAGCTAGGAAAGTTTACTATTATAGGCTTTAACCAAAGCAGTAGCTTATCATTCCAAAAGTTTAGATTTAAATTTTCGCATATAGTTTTTACCCAGATATTGACTTGTCGTCTATGTGGTTTAGTAGAAATTCAAAACATATGTAAGCTGCGTGGTCTTTTGAGAGAAGAAGGATCAGTGTATAAACAGAGTTGGCAACCTACTTCCAAGGTATACAAGATTACAGAATATTTATACCTCTACCAGTGTTTCCTACTTTTAAACAAAGTGTATTCTTGTAGCTCACACAAAGCAGATTGCCTAATGGTGAAACCCTGAATGTTCATTTGCTGTTGCCTGTGTTTATTTGGATTTCAGCAGAACCATTGAAAAACTGAATAAATATAGCATGTAGTGAAGTATTAAGAAATGTTAAATGAGTGATGCAGCAAAAGTTAAGAATTGCCTATGTTGTGAAAGTGTCTGTCAGTTCTACTTTAACTAAATAATAGATCATTGAACGTGAATTCATATTTATTTTCCTGGAAGGGTTATTTTGGAAAAGGTGTTTTGTCAAGAAGTCGACCAGACTTTAGTATTTCAGATCCTGCACTGATTGCCAAATGGAAAGGTAAGTTGGGTTCTTCTAGCTTTTATACTTAGAAGGATGTTTGTAAGATGTTAATTGGAGTTTTACTACCCAAAAAGGTTGAGTGTAGGACAGTTTTGCTACAGGAGGTAGGTATTTGTAGTCTTAGGACTATGTGTGTCTTTTTCATTGTAGAATTATCATTATCAAAAACATTCTTTACAATTTTAATCACAGTGCATGTGCACATAATTGGCACACAAATAGTTAATTGATTAAGCACCTGTTTGTGATGCCTTTAAAACGAGCTAGATAATATCCTTATTGTCCCTTCTTCAAGTAACTTGTATATAAGACATAAGCTCATATATAAGCAATGATAAGAGAGAAACTCATTAAAACAAATATATTTGTATGTTGTTACTTACTCTCTGGTATCCTTTTCTTTTAACATACAAAATAGATAGATAGACATTCATAGAACATTTATTAATGGTCAGTTGTGTGCCAGGCGCTATGCTAAGTGCTGGGCATATAGATACAAGCAAACAAAACAGTCCTTTCCTTCAAGAAGCTTCCATTCTAAGGGAAGAAGACAACATATAAAAAGTTCTGGAGGAAAGGAAGATGGAGTGTACCCACAAGGGGCCTGGTGAGGAGATGGGCAGCAAGTGGCCCTGGCATGATAAGACAAAGGCTGACCCATCACTGCTGGAGGACTTGGGCTAGGGAGAGTTGGGGTGGCTGTCTGGAAAGTGATGTGGAGGTCAAGGTGACTGAGAGTGTCTGTGTCATAGAAGAAAATGCATGGGAATGCCTTTGGAGAACTACACGAGCACATTGAAGATTATAAATAGAGGACTGTGTTCTTACTGCAGTGATCTTCACAATAATTGGAAATGCTTCTTTGATGATGGAGTACCCTCATTTTTAAACTTTGGGAAAATTACATTTAGAATCAGTTTATGCCAAGAAAGAAAAATTAAGTTGTGTGGTCTAATGAACCACACCAAATATTTCCATAGTAAGCGACACATATCCTAGCTTCCCAGTGCAAGGAAGTTATGTGTCATTCCCCATTTGGATGATGAGGAACTCCGTCTCATGGAATCTTTGGGCTAGAAGGGGACTCAGAGATCTTCTGTTCCAAAGAGTGGCAAACCACAGGCCGCAGCCTGCCACCTCTTCTTGAGCCAAGAAGGGTTTTTACATTTTTTAAATAAAGTTTTATTGTAGTTAAAAATGTAAAAAACCCTTCATAGCTCCAGGGTTGTACAAGAACAGGCTGGGGGCCATTTGGCCTCACCTCCAGATCTGTTCCAAGCCCTTATTCTGCAGATGGGAAAATGGAGCTGAGGGAAGTGAAAGGTCTTACTCAGTAAGTGCCTTACCCAACATCCCACAGTTAGTCAGTGAGAAACCTGGGAATAGAACGTCAATCTTCTGACTCCCAGACCTTTATTCTTTTATTGCATATCGGATTATTTTTCAGTGCTTTATTGTGTGCAAGTATTATAAACTTGGATTAAGGACGTAGTAGTGTTGATAAGGCATGGTGCAGGGAAAGAACATTGAATTAGAAATCAGGAGACAAAGAGAAAGAGCGATAGGATTTAGAGCTAAAACGAGGCCTTCAGACTATCTAGTTCAGTCTCATTTTACAGATGAAGAGACTGAGCCCTATAAAGATTAAGTGATTTTCTCAAGGTCAAAGAGTATTAAGCAGGACTGAAATTTGAACCCAGGTCTCCAGACACTAAATTCAGTACATTTTCCCCTCTATACTACACTGCCTCTCCTAGATTCTAGTCCAGGTTCCGCCAATTAATTCTGTAATCTTCAACAAATTGCTTAGCTTCTATGTCTCAGTTTACTCCTATAATTAAGTTTAATTCAGCTAACATTAATGAATAGAAATAGGAATAGAAGGAGATCTAAAGTTACAAAGTATCATGATTCGGGCAGCTAGGTGGTACAATGAACAGAGCACTGGCCCTGGAATCAGAAGGACCTGAGTTCAACTGCAGCCTCAGATACTTGACACTTACTAGCTGTGTGACCCTGGGCAAGTCACTTAACCCTGATTGCCTCGCTCAAAAAAAAAAAGTACCATGACCACAACGGCCCTCATGGAGCTTACCACCTGGGAGACTATGACATTGATAACTATAATAAAAAATAATAAAAGTTTATTAGAAAGGTAGAAAAATAATAAAAGTTTATTAGAAAGGGAAAGTGCTGAGGTCTTTGGGAGAAAAGACGGGTAGGAATCCAACAGAAGAAACTGGGGACAGGAAAACATTAATTACTTTCTAAGGGAAGGGAATTCATCAAGTAAACTTCATGGTTATTTCTGGTTATGTGATCTGACCAGCAGAAGCTAGAAACCTATGAAGCTTATCGTTCTTATCCTTTTTAGGTCATTTAATATTAAAAATATTGCTTATAATTATTAACTTACCATGTTATTACAGATGCTAAGCTGGGCATGCCTATACTTACATCAGAGAGGTAAGTCAGTGTTTTAATTCCATCATATTGATGGTTTAAATGTGGTTTCAGTTATTTTTTTAAAAATTGAAGTAGGAAGGAAAGTAGCAACAGGTATGTTCTTGAAAAATATCTAAATTGAAATTATTTGATTTAAGTCAATTTAAATGCCCTGGCACTATGTATAATAACCCTATGTAAATCCTTTAGTAAAGCATGAATTTTCTTTTAACCTTCTAACATGTTTTTGTAAGTTCCAGAAATTTGAACCCACTAAAGTGGCAGACCTCCTTTTTAGACAAAAATAGTCCTACCTTCTTTTTCTTCTCCCTCTGCCACTTCTAAAGTATAAAGATACAGGTATTTTCCCTGCTCCTCATCAATGACCTCTTATCTTCACCAGATTAATAATAATAATAATAACTAGCATTTATATAGCACCTTTTATATGCCAGGTACTTTGCAAATACTATTTCATTTTATACTTTATCTACACAGCAACCCTGTGAGGTAGGTATTGTTATCACCCCAATTTTACATTTGAGGAAAATGAGGCAAACAGAAGTTAAGTGCCTTGCTAATAAGTATATGAGGCTGGATTTGAACTCAGATCTTCCTGGCTCCAAGCCCAGCACTCTATCCACTGCACCACCTAACTGCCTAGTGCTTGGTTTACCTACTGTCTGCTTCGGACACCATATTTATTCTTTCTTTTCTACCTGTGCTCTTGCAATTTTCTCTGCCTAGAACATCCTCTACTTTCCTTTCAGCCCATCCAAATCCTAATTGTCCTTCTAGGCTCAACTCAAGTCCCATATTCTTCATGAAACCTTCTCTGAGAATTTCATCTCACATTGATCTACCCCTTCTCAGAATTCCCGTGGTATTCATAGCCAAAACCATATAGTCTAGTCCTTTATTATCTGTAGTAACACCTTGGTTGTCTGGCATATTTGGGGGAATGAAGCTTATTGAACAAAAGATTGACAGATAACTGAAGACAGACTAAACATTGACTTAAGATTTTAACATTTTTTTGTCGAGATCTTTCTTAAAATGTTACATACACACTTGCTTGCCTTAGTAAACAGTATTTCTAGCCATACTATAATTTTTTCTTACTGACATAGGATGATTACTGTGCTCATTATTTATAGGATTGGGTGGCTACAATGTCCTCTGAGGATACTGGGATTTACGGGCTAGATGCCCTTATTAAAATGCCCCTATATTTCTGCCTTGATGTCTTTTTCCCTCTTTCACCTGTGACCACCTGCATTCATAGACTCCTAGGATTTAAAGCTCAGAGAGACCTTAGAAATCATATAGTCCAACCTCCTTCCTTCTGCATATAAAGAAACTAAGGTCCAGGGAAGTTAAGTCATTTGCCCACTTACATACCTAATAATTGACTGAGTCAGGATTTAAACCCAGCTCTTCTGACTTTTAGTTCATTATACTTTGAATGAGCTTGCTTCTCATCACCCCTCTGCGTGACTTCTGAATGACATTCTTCTCCCTTTTTACATTGTTTTTTGTATCTTTTTGCTCCTTCAGCACTTCCCATCATTTGGAGATGGAAAGCCTTAGTTTTTATAATCATCCCCAGACAGTAAGAACATTCCTTTCTTCTGGTTGGTGACCTGACTTGTTATAGCACATTTTCTATCATGTTCTTACTCTTTTTAGCTATTTTCATGATTGAAGCTCTATACAAAGTCTTCTTCAGTTACTTCCAAAAGCATTGAAATGGTTGGCCATTGTGTGATGATTTTACTCTATTGCATTCTGGTGTTCTCTCATTGTTTATGCGTGTTAGTCTGATCTACCCGGGCAAAACTTAAGTTCCTCATTGGCAATGGCTATTGTCTTCTCCTTTTCTTCTATTAACTTAATACAATGCTTGACACATATTAGGAGCTCAGTAGAATTTTCTTAATTTGCAAGACAGTTATAATTGACTAGAAAGTTGTAATGGGCCCTTTGTGGCCTCTGTCTTCACCGTGGAGAGATTAGGACAAGTGTGTGCATGTGCCCACTATGCAACTGTATATCTGTGCCTAAGTCCTGCACACCTTCAAGATGATAAGCCTGGAGATCATCGCCCAGATCAAGGCACATGTGGAATCCCTAAAGGGCATTGCTCCAGTGGATCAGGTCCTGCTTCTGTGTGGCTCCCCTCCTTGAGGAAGAAGCCATCATAGGGTTGTATGGGGTGTTTGTGACCCCCAAAATAATCAAATCAGAGACTTTTTCTTAAGAAAGGCAAAAAGGAGTTTTATTGCTTTCTCATGAGAAAGGACACACCCAGCATTCTGCTCAAGATGGCTTCAGCCAGGGTGTGCGAGGGAGTGTAGATCAAAGCCAGTTTATGTAGACCCTAAGGCGGAACCCCCACCCTCCCACTAGCTCCTCTTCCCATTGGCTGGGCTTCAGAGCTCACAGTCTAAGCGCGGAAACTTTTCCCCAGCAACAAGGTTTGCAAAAAGGCGAGAAACAAGGAACTGTTGGTTCAGCAGGAAAGTAAAAAAGGAGGGGAGAGCCGGAAAGCCTGGAATCAATAACCTAATCTCCCCCTGTCCTGTTTTCTTACCAATTCTGTGGGAACCAAACTGGTAGCATTCCTCACAGGGTGATTCTAGAAGTGCTAACCATATGGTACGAGGTAAAGTCCAGGGCTTTCTGGTCAGAACTGAAAAAGTGAGGTGTCAGATTCTCATGATGGCCAAGCAAAAAAAAGGTGAAGACTGAGCATCCAAGAGGCGAAGGCAGTGTAACTGATGCTTTGTCACTGTGGTGTCCAGAAGGGCCCCGATGCCAAATCCTGATCCCCAGCTAGTTTTCATATCTCTCTAGTAAAGCTGTTGCAGCTATGAAAAAATGTTGTGTTGGGTCTAGTTGGACTAGGTGAAGATCAGATCAATATTAAAAGTTATTGGGGAATATTTTTTCTGTCTCCACATATGATTGAATGCTAACTAAGTGGGGAATGCTCATGTGGCACCTCCAGTTTATCAAAGCCCTAGGACATAGAATCTCTTTTTTTATGCCCCCTTAGTGCTCGTGTAGCGTACTACAGAGGATAACTATTGACTGGCGTAAAACTGGTTCATTTTTGTCTTGTGGCATCAGGAGCCAGAAAGTAGAGATTATTTTTTTGTATTTTGATTGAATACTTCTGGATAAGAAGTGGAAAAAGGGAAAGTGTCACTCTGTGTATTCTCTCAGGGCGTCAAACCCTAACCTTTCTCTGCCACAGATACCTGGAGAAATTGTTGTAAAAATAACATGGCAGGGCTACAGAACTGTGCCTAACCTTTAACCCAAAATACCACTACTAGGTCTATATCCGAAAGAGATCCCAAGAAAAAGGAAAAGGACTTAATATTTATAGTAGCTCATTTTGTGGTGGCAAAGAATTGGAAATTGAGGGGATGTGCATCAATTGAGGAATATTTGGACAAGTGGTAGCATATGATTGTGATGGACTACTATTGTGCTATAAGAAAGGAGAAGCGGGATGGTTTCAGAAAAACCTAGAGAGACTTACATGAACTGATGCAAAGTGAAGTGAACAGAACCAGGAGAACATTGTACACAGTAACAGCCATATTGTACAATGATCAACTGTAATTGACTTAGGTATTATCAGCAATACAGTGATCCAAGACAGTTCTGAAGGACTCATGATGAAAATGCTATCCACTTCCAGAAAAAGAACTGATAGAGCCTGGATGCAGATCAAAGCATACTTTTTTTTAGCTTACTTTCTTTTTCTTTTCTTTCTTTTTTTTTTTTTGTCTGTATTTTCTTTCATAACATTTTGCCTTCTCAATGAGGGGGGGTGGAAGGAAGGGTGGAAGAGAATTTGGAACGAAGAATTTTAAAAAGGGAAAGTGAATGTAAAGAAAATCTTTGTACCTGGAATGGGGGGGGGGAGGGAGAGAAAAGATTTTAAAAAGAAAAAAAAGGTATCATGGCCATTTAAGGAGAGTTCCAGACAGACTTAGTCTGTCAAATGTCAGCTCCACGTTTCCAACTTTATTTTACTCAGTAAGGTTCAATCCATTTTGTTTGTTATCATGTGTTAGAGGCACTGTGGGGTAGCAGTAAAAAACAAAACACTGGGCTTGGAGCCTGGCTCCACTTTTTCATTTAGTCTCTCTGAGCCTGAAGGGATTGAATGAGATGATCTTTAAGGTAAATCTTGCAGTAGTGTGTATTGTCAGAGGCTGTGAAATATATAATATATGAAAGGCTCTGTGATCTCATTAATGTGAGTGTGCCTTCCAGTGGTACAAATTGCAGCCATTCCATGTCAACTCATCCTATTCATCTCTTGTCCATGTGCTCTCGGAAATCTTCCATGGAAGTATACCCATTGAGCTGGGAATTTTCCTCCAAAAGTTTCTCTGGAAATTAAGTAGGTAGCAGCAGATAACAAAGACTAGCTGTCCATTATTATTTGCTGTCATGACCTAAGTGAAGTGATATCTTTTCATGTGCCTGTTTTCAGCATCACCTCCAACAGTTGTCATTTTCCTTTGCCAGTCTGGTGGGTATGGGGTAGAATCTCAGAGTTTTTTAATTCACTTATCTCTGTTAGTAATTTGGAGATCTTTTTTCACATGGTTCTTGATAGGTTACATTTTTTCCTTTGAGAACTGATGTTGTCTTTTACACAGCTTCAGTTTGACCTTTGTAGAGATTTTAAGTTATACTTTAGCTTTTATAATTTAACAACTTCTCCTAAAGAGCAGAATTCCATTTTTGTATAGCATCCAGTTTACAAGTCACTTTAACAACCACCATCATTTAATTGTAAACTTTATTGAGCTTATTACAAGTGAGAAGGCACACTACTAAATCATAAATAATGGTGGCAGGAGTATTGTTTGTTTCATTGATTTTTCAAAATTAAAAACTTTTCCTATCCTACTAATGACATTTCCATCATGTAGGTACCAGCGTGGGGTAACATGGGCTGCAAATCTCATGCAAAGACAAGGGCAGGAGGAAAGCTCAGTTCACAAAATTCTTGAGGATTATACAAAACCACTTGAATTTCCTTTTGTGAAAAGAAATAAAGAAGATCAACAAAATAATGGACTTAGCCGTAAGTTGGATCCAGAAATAGAAAATGTAGAGCATAAAGCAGAACTTTTAGTCACAAATGGAGATTCTGTCAAGCCAGATAGTGAAAATGAGAGCCAAAACTCTGGATCCGAGAACACGGACTCGAAGGAGCGCTCTGTACGTGATCCATTAGCTAAACATGGCTCTGGTAAACCAAAGGCAAGGGACAGTGATGCTTTTGGTCAGGCACACTATCTCACACACGGAGATTTCGTCTCACTGGACTGTCAGCCTGAAGACTGTGCCCAACAGAAGCCTCTGATGTTTGCTACAGACGGAGAGTGTGAGCATGAGTATGTGCTTGTTCAAGAAACAGCAAATTGTTTAGACGATGAAGAGGAAACAGCAGGTGAGAAAGTAAGTGTGAGAAGAAAAGGTCTTATCTTTGAATTTTGCTGTTACCAATTTAAACCAGTTAAATTTTTAAGACAGTTTAAATTTTAGTGTAATAGTGATAAGAGGCAATATGGGGTAGTTTAGACCAGTGAAGTCAATCTCAAATAGACATAGGGGCCATTGGGCCATTAAGCCATACAAGGATTCCCACAGGTGTCAGTTGACTTAGAAAAACACATTTAACATTATCTATGTTCTGTTGTATTTATATTTATTTTGTTAAATGTTTCCTAGTTTCATTTTAATCTGGTTCCTGCTTCACTCATAAATGTTGTAGGCTGGTATTTGATATCTCTGGTTGAGATAGTGGTTGAGATAGAGAGAGCTGGCCTCAGAGTCAGGAAGACCCTGGTTCAAGTCTGACTTCTGGCTCATACTGACTTTGTGGTTCTGGGCAAGTCATTTAGCCTCTTGTGTCCCCAAGCAATTCTCTAAGACTAAGTTAATAATATCTAGCATTTATAGAGTACTTTAAAACCTACAAAGTGCCTTCTTTATAAGTAGTTCATTTTGGGGGCAGCCAGGGTGGCACAGTGGATAGAGCACTGGCCCTGGATTCAGGAGGACCTGAGTTCAAATCTGGCCTCAGACACATTAACACTTACTAGCTGTGTGACCCTGGGCAAGTCAACCCCATTGCCTAAACCCCCCCCAAAAAAAATTAAGTATCTCATTTTGTCTTCAAAATGACCCTGGGAGGTAAGTGCTATTATTATCCCCATCTTATGGATGAGAAAACTGAGGCAGACGGGGGGTAAGTGACTTGCCTAGGGTCACACACCTAGAAAGGTTCTAAGACTGGATTTGAACTCAGATCTTCCTGACTCCAGAACCTGCGCTCTATCTTGTGCTCCTGAGAACCTCTAGGTAGCAGAGAGGGTACAAGTCTGCCTTGATAGAGGAAGTCCCTCAATGTAGGAAGAGTTCCTTGCATTGATGATAGCATAGGCCCAGTGACAAAAAGCAGTATCTCCCTTTAGTAGTGAAGAGCTCCTGTTGATAGAGCACTTTGTAGTTTGCATATGTGTTTTTGTGTGACCAGTTTTACAAGTAAAACTTGGTGCAGTGGACAGAGCACAGGCCTTGGAAGCAAGAAGACCCTAGGGAGGCTTTTTGCTGTGTGACCCTGGGCAAGCCCTTACCTCTCTGGGCCTCATCTGTTGGATTGAATGACCTCCACGTTCCCTTCCTGCTCTCAATCTATGATTCTGTATCTGTAGAGGTTAAGGAGCTTGCTCAAGGCCCCAAACCTAGTTAGTGTCGAAGGCAGGACTCAAGCCTAAAGCCCCTGGATGTCATTGGTCTTTCTGCTGTACCGTTCTTCCTCACTATTCCAGTTTTTTTTTTTTGTTTGTTTGTTTGTTTGTTTTTGGCTAGGCAGTGGGGTTAAGTGACTTGCCCAGGGTCACACAGCTAGTAAGTGTTATGTGTCTGAGGTCAGATTTGAACTCAGGTCCTCCTGAATCAGGGCCGGTGCTCTATCCACTGCGCCACCTAGCTGCCCCCCCTCATGATTCCAGTTAAAAAAGATAGATGACGTATGTCATGTGGTCACAGTGTAGGAGATGTAGTGTAGCACAACAACAGAAACCCCAGCATCAATGACCTTCAGAATTATAAATAATATAAGGTAAATAAAGTATGTATTTGGATAATTACTTTTATGTTGTTTTCATAGATGCATTTTAAAAACTTATCTGTAAGGTAATAACATAAGAACACTGAAAGTTTAAGAGAAAAATATTGAAATAAAACTATTTAGGGCCTCTTGTGTGATATTGATAATGTGTTTAAACTTGGTCAGTATATGATTTATTTTATTTCATTATCTTCAGGTGATCAAAAGAGAAAAGCTAGTGTGCAGAAGAAATCCATACAGGATCTTTGAGTACTTACAACTCAGCCTAGAAGAGGTATTTTTTTTTTTTATCACAGTAAACATTTTTGCTCTTCTATATTGGACCGTCAGTGAGTCCAATTTTCAGGATCCATGCTAGAGAACCTTCTTATGCATGGACTGCCTCAAAACAATGTTCCTTTAATACATCTCATCATTTCCCACCTGGCTGTACTTCTTTGGGACTTCTCTGATTTCTCCTTCGTGCCCCCACATTGAGTACCTTTCCTTCACACACCCCTCCTAACCCCTAGCCCTTTTCAGCTTTCTGGGCTCTCTCTCTTTTTTTAAATTTGTATCCCAAGCACTTAGCACAGTGCCAGGCACATAGTAAACATTTAGTAAGTGTTTATTGACTATTGACTTCTACAGTTAACGAAATACCCTTGTTTACTTTGTATAACAATCGTATCCTAAAAAGTTAATTGTCAAGTGTTTTTCTATAAACTACATTGTATTTTCCAATGACTGGTTCTTTCGCTATCTTGTGATCAGTCATGTGCTCATTGCAACCCCATTGTCTTTGCTCATGTTGAACATATATACACCCTTTTCTCTTTTGCCCCCTTTCTCTGCCAATCCAAATCTCACCCACTCTTCAAGGTCCAATTCAGTTCCAGTCTCCTAGCTTTCTTCAGATAGCCTAGCCCAGGGTGATAATCCTTCTAACTAAAGTGCTCTAGCATTTAGCCTTTCATAACCATTTTTAGTACCTCATTTTTTTCTATGAATATTCATATATATATATACATATACATATATATATAGAGAGAGAAACATAATATATTATTGTTGTCTATATACATAATATCTTTACTGTCTAGTTATATTATAAGTTTCTTGAAATTCATTAAATACTTATTGAATAAATTTTCATTAGTGGTTTTTCCATAGAGGAAAAAAATTGTATCCCTAAATAACTTTCTAGATTTTCCTGGTGCCAACAAACAAGCTCAATGTTAAACTGGAAGGTACCTTGGAGATCATCCAGTGTTACCCCTTCATTTTGCAAAAGAGACCAGGGACTAAGTTATGTTGTTGTTGCTAGTCAGTCATTTCCGACTCTTTGTGACCACATTTGGGGTTTTCTTTCTTTTTTTTTTTCTAATTTATTTATTTTTAGTTTTCAACATTCACTTCCATGAGATTTTGAGTTCCAAATTTTCTCCCTATCTCATCCCTCTCCATCCCAAGATGGCATGCATTCTGAATACTCCTTCCCCTAATCTGCCTTCCCTTCCATCTCCCCCTACTCCTCTTATTCCCTTCCTCTTCTATTTTCTTGTAGGGCAGGATAGATTTCTATACCCCATTGCCTGTATATCTTATTTCTCAGTTGCATGTGAAAACAATTTTTAACATTTGTTTTTAAAACTTTGGGTTCCAAATATTCTCCCTTCCTCCCTCCTCACCCACCCTCATTGAGAAGGCAAGCAACTTGATACAGGTTACACATGTGTAGTCATGCAAAACACTTCCATAGTAGTCATGTTGTGAAAAACTAACTATATTTCCCTTTATCCTATCTCACCCCCCCGTTTATTCTTTTTTGTCTTTTGACCCTGTCCCTCCTTAGAAATGTTTGCTTCTGAATACCAACTCCCCCAACCTGCCCTCCCCTCTATCATCCCTCTGCTCTCTTATCCTCTTCCCCCCTATTTTCTTGTAGGGTAAGATAGATTTCCATACCCAATTGAGTGTGTATGTTATTCCCTCCTTAAGCCCATTTGGAGTTTTCTTAGCAGAGATACTGGAGTGGTTTGCCATTTCCTTCTCCAAGGTCATTTTACAGATGAGGAAACTGAGGCAAACAGGGTGAAATGACTTGCCCAGGGTCACACAGCTACTAGGTGTCTGAGGCCAGATTTGAACTCAGGTCTTCTTGACTCCAGGCCCAATGCTTTATCCATTGTGCCACCTAGCTGTCCAACTTAAGTCAGACATTCTAGAGATGCTAAACTACTTGACTAAGGTCACATAGAGTTGAAAATAAAGCCTAGGTTTTCTGACTCAATTCAGCCTTCTATCACCAGTTCTAATCTCTTTGAAAGCTAGAGTAGTAATGTGAGAGTAGGTGATGATATTTCTGCTTGATGGCAAAAAAAGTTCATGTTTCACTTGAAGTATGATGATATGTGTGAGCAGCAGTAGCTGCCTTTGTTCTAACAAGCAGCTGGAATGATGGGAACTACTGTTTTCTCCTGTTGTTCAAATAGTAAATGGCAGCAGCTAGAGAATTAAGTTGGCCTGCATTTCTGGAAGCAATATGTCCTTTGACAGTATTCCACTAACATTAGTCTTACAGGAGTCTATACTGAATCCTTATCTGTACTTTAATTTCTTATTTTGTTTTGGCAAATTTCTAGTCCATTAATTACCTGTATAATAGCGTTTGTACAGCTTAGAGTTTCCCAAAATGTCAGTTGAAAATCTTGGGAGCCATTGTGGCCAGCAATATGTTATCCTTGGCTAGTTATCCCTAGCTAGTGGTTTACCTGTACCATTTGGGAATGGTACACCATTTGGGAATTATACTGATATGGTTCCAAAAGCTACTTAGAAGAGGAGCAGGAGGAAACTCGATGTTATGTGGTCCATGAAAGCTTCACAGGAATGAAGTGAAACCTAGATTGTAATTTCCTTGGGAGCCACTGTAGTTGTGCCATTCTGAAGCAGGCTCTGAAGAATAAGCCACTAATCTATGTATTTGTGAAGAGTATGGTTTGCTTTGGTTTTGATTTTTGCCGAGTAATATTTTATTATCTTCAAGAGGGTCCTGTTAGTACAAAACATTGAATTTTATTTGAAGAAAAGTCTTAGAACAATGAAATAAATGTTACTTTCACTGTCACTTCAGTCATTGTAGAATTCTGTCTACTCACCCTAGTATCTTAGTAGTACCCTAGTACTATTACCCTTACTACCAGTACCTTAGTAAAGGCCCTCAGTACCTCTCATGTAAACTCTAGTAATGGCTTTCTTATCGGTCTCCTTACTTTTAGTCTCTCCCCATTCTAATCCGTTTTCCACACAGCTGCCAAAATAATCTTCCTAAGAGTGATAGGAATGACATTTATTTTGCATAAAATGGAATGATTTCCCTTTAAGGAAGCAAGGTGGTTATTCTCAGGATTTTGTTGATCCAGATGACTAGGTGTGTAAAAAGTACTGCCTCTTGGGAGATGGTATTTCTGATGGAATTCCTGCTTCTCAAGGGAGTCTTTTTGATCAAGCATCGTTGCCCTGATGAATGAGGAGGTGAAAGGGAACAGCATCTATTTTTAGTAACTATATCCTTTTTTTAAAAAACTATATCTTTTTTTAGACTGTGGGGACATATCAGTAGCTTACTACAGACCACATCTGTAGTCATCTGAATCTTGTCTATCCAGGGAATTTCTCAAAACTTAAATGAGTGGTCTAGAATGTTCTTGGGTTTAATAACTGACCCCTTGGTGAGTTGCCACTGTAGCCCATTCAATAATGCATTATCATTATAGTGGTAGACATCAGTGCCCTCAGGAAGTAGAGCCTCTTTCAATTAAGTCTCTGTCCACCAGTTGTGACAATATGGAGAACTCAGATCACCTTGAAGAAAGATGATAAAAGTATATTGTTGTGAGAATCTAATCAAGAGATGATGAAGACCTGAACTAAGATGTCAAGTGGAGAGAAGGGGTCCTGTGCTAGAGATGCTAACTTACTAAAAATAGGAACAGCAAGATTTGGCTAATAACTCAGTGGATATGGGAGTGTGAGGAATACAGGCTAATGATTATGAATCTGAAAGGACAGTAGTGCCTTCGAGAAGTAGGGAAGTGAACAAAGAAACTGGCTCTGGCAGTTGTTTGTATGCATTTATAAAGTCTTTTCACCATTTAGAGCCATAATTGTTACTTTATAGGTACATAAAAATGTGGGCTCAGATTCAGTAATTACTGGGGATACAGGTATATTTGCTGCTTGGAGTAAGACAGTTTCTGAAGAACTCATGTGAAAGCAGCTCTTGGGCCTAAGTCTATTGCTGAGCAAAGACTGGACATTAATCAGGCTTTGTGTACTACTATCTTCTCTAGTGATACCATAATAAATTTGATAAGTCCTACCAAGCAAAAATGACTGAAGAGGAAATCATAAGTCTAATCATGGAAGGTGTACAAAAGAAAAATGACTTGAATATTCTAGAAAAAAAACTTTTTCCTCTCTTATCTTCTTGGACATCCTGTGTAACTTTCTGTATATTTGACATGAAAAGCAGTGTTTATATATGCTGATTTGTAGCATGTGAAGGAAAGAAACTAGTGTACATTCATTTCTCTATAGAAGTTGGTTCATCTTCCATGAATTTCTCCTTTTGCTCTGGTTTTTTGAAATAAGATTTCTAATGAAAAAAATACAACATCATACAAATGTTTTATATTCGATGTCTAATACATATAATTTGGAACTGTTATTTTTTTTTAAAAAACTCTTAGAAACTATTAACATTTTAATTTACAAATATACAGCAGTTTTGAAGGTGATTTGGGGCTTTATATTGTGTTTTGACTCAGAGGGGAAAGAAGAACCTATAAAATAATTAATTTCCATGAACTTAATGTTGTATTTTAATCAATACCTTTTATCTTCTGTGTTTTCAGGCATTTTTCTTGGTCTATGCTTTAGGGTGTTTAAATATTTACTATGAGGAGGTAAGGTATTTTGTGTAGTTCCATTATGCTTACAATTTTCATAATGATAAAAACAAGTGCATTGTTGATCTTCTTTTTGGTTTTACACAACCATCTGTCAGATTTACACTCAACAGACTTGGTGTTCCCTCTCCATGCACCCTTGGTCTGATTACCAAACTTTGGTGTCAGAAGCTAATGTTGGTATTTCAGGCTCTTTCTCCCTCCCAGGAATTGAAAGCACTTTTTCTTACCCAGCAGTCCTGATAATGGCCTCAGAACAGGGGATTTAAATTTTTTCAGAAAGAAAAGTAATCAAGATAGTAGACCAGGAGAGAAGTTGCAGGTCTGTTTCCTGTTTCTAAAAAATTTTATTTTATGAATCTTTTTATCTATTTATTTATTTTGTAATTTTTAGGCAATTGGGGTTAAGTGACTTGCCCAGGGTCACACAGCTAGTAAGTGTCAAGTGTTTGGTCTGAGGCCAGATTTGAACTCAGCTCCTCCTGACTCCAAGGCCGGTGCTCTATCTACTGCACCACCCAGCTGCCCCTTTATAAATCTTTTTAAAAAATAAAATAGTAGTGCACAAATGTACATTTGTGCCTTCCAATTGATTCGTATTTCTGATATTAGAATTAAGATCTAAACCATAAACCAAGTGAACCCCAAAGCAAACTTAGATATTACAGGCTTATCCTGAGTACTATAAGTAGGTGGTTCAGTGAAAATATTGCATTAAATAGAAAGGAAGCATTTAATCCTGTTCAACAACATCCTAATTGTAGCAATATTTCAGCAAACTTTCATGATGTTTCATGTTGGGGTTTATAATGAGAGTGTTGCAAGTTGTCAATAATATTATGCTTGATATATTTCAATTCAATAAACATTTCTTAAGCACCTAATATGTGCCAGGCACTGTATAGTTATTTGTATTAGTTTTGTTGAGGCAAAGTTTCTGTTTGGTAGTAAAACTACCTACTGAATGTACATATTTTCTAAAACTATTGAACCAGAAGTGTACAGAGCATTGTGCATCGTAGGCCCTTACTAAAGGTTTGAATGAATAAACCAGTACAAAACTGAAACTGAAGTAATATAGCATTCTGGTGATTCTGTCTGATCTCTAATAACCTAATTTTAAGTATGTATGCATTTTTAGGTAAACTTTTTGTTCTTATGAACCTTTTTTTAAACAACTATGGCATTTTTATAAACAGTCAGCATATTATAGACCATTTAAGAATATTGAGTTGTTAGCATTATGGGAAAATTATATTAATATTCTTTCTTATGACCTTAGGAGCCTTTAACAATATTAAAACTCTGGGAAGCTTTTCATCTAGTTCAACCCACATTCAGAACAACATACATGGCATACCACTACTTCCGAAGTAAGGGATGGGTGCCCAAAGTGGGACTCAAGTATGGAACAGATTTCTGTAAGTACTTTTGAGTTGGCTTTTATAAGAAAGAACTTCTTACCAAATAATCATCAAACTAAAACCACAGGGAATTTGCTTACCTGTAATCTACAAATATAGATAGCCCTTCTCCCATCACCCCATTTCCCTGATTTGGTTAAGATATAGATGGCACTATCTGAATTTGCCTGGATATGAGATGGAGGGAGGGAAAGAGGGCAAGAAGGATAAAAGAAGCAGTGTGCACTAGAGCAAAGAGCTCAGGACTTGTGGTCTAGAGCCCCGTATTGTAGACCCAGCTCTGACATGTACCAACTATGTCTTGGAGCAAGTCACTTTAAACTCTCCAAGACTCCGTTTCTACTTTTGTAAAATACTTACCCTACAGATCATGCAGAATTATTGTGTGAAAAGTTCTCTGTAAACTTTAAATCTTTGCATGTATCCTCTTTTTCTGTACTGTGTTTAATCTGGTGCAAACTTCTTAAGCACTCTGTACTTATAGGCTGATGAAGTCAGAGATGTGGAGCTAGAAGAGATTTTAGACACCATGTATTCCATTTCCTTTATTTTAACATATGAGAAAACTGAGGCCCAAAGAGATTATGACTTGCTCAAGGTTAAGTGGCAGAGTTGGGATTCAAACTCAGGTTCTCTGACATCAGATCCATTGGTCTGTCTTTCCACTGACTAGTCTTTCAAATGGGGATTCTGTTTCTTACAGTTCTAAGACTTAGGAGTCTTTGATAAGTCATTGAAACAATATAGGTCTTAGGTGTCTTGTCTGTCAAATGGAGGTAATAATACCTGACTTAATTCACAGAGTTATTTGTGTGGGTCAGATAGCTAATAAATGTGAACATGCATCAAACATTACACAAATGTAAGGCGTGAAAGTTTCTTGAGAAGCCTCTCAGCTCTGTCATGTAATTCTGCTGTATATTAAAGATTTTTAAAAATTCTTAATTCTCTCCATTGGAATAGTGAAATGATCCTTTTGGTTATGTGATTTGAAAGAAGATTGTTTCGTGAGCTTAAGAATAAGTTCACGAAACAAAAAGAATTTTGTTTCCTCGCTTGGATTTTGAATTACCTACCTGATCTAGAACTGCCTTTGCTTTTCATCACATGATTGATCATATTCAGCTTGAGATTTGTTTGTCAGCTTTCCAAATAATTATGTTGACTGTAAACTGCAGAACTTTAAGTAATTGATGGACTGGTGGCATTGGCCTTCTCTGGATTACTGCCCATTCTCTTTGCTATTCTCCTGTAATAGTAAACCCCTCTGTGCTATAACTTACATGTCTTAGTCTTTTCAATAGTCAATCATTCTCTAGTTTTGTCATTGACCTGGTATACTTTAAAAGTGATCTTTCCAGCTAACAGAGAAAGATAATGTATCAGGAACTTGCAAATGTTGAGATGCACTGTCTAGCCTCTTTGTGGATGATATGTAGGCTAAAGAAATAAGTGGGGGACCTAATTCAGGAAGCACCTTTTTACTGTATACTGCATATCAAATAACACATATGATCTTGTCTCTAATTATGGCTTTCCTAATGGCTATAGTGCAGAATGGAGTTTTATTGGCAGCCTTTTCAAGTGCGTTTCAACTGTTTTCCTGAGGATTAATGTTGCCACACCTTCAGATAAATTCACATCAACACATATTCCAGTGTTTATGGGCTATTATTTTATCTGTTGAAGTAATTAGTAATAAATACATAAATCTCTAATTGCCTCTTAATTAGCCAAATAAACTTAGGCAGTTTTACAGAATAGGCTTTCCCTGATCTTCCAGGTTGGGCTCCATTGGTACATTTTTAATGTGAGCTAATTGATGTTGCCCTAGTTCTGTCTGGTGCTAAAATGGTATGATGTTGGATATTTATGACTTGTTCCCAGGCACCTTTTCTGTATTGGAATTTGGTTGGCAAGATTTACTCAAGGAAAACTTTTATTTAGTATATCTTCAGTTAACAAGAACACTCTACTCCTCAGCTACACCATGTCATGTAAGCAAGTTGTAACAGATATAGCAACCAATCATTAACCTCTGAGTTTATTTCCCAGTATACTCAGCTCTTTTGCTTTTTTCAATAACAAAAATATGGCTAATTAAAAGCAACAGATGTATTCTACATGCAAATAATTTTTAACCAATTGCAGGTGAATATTTTGATTTTTTTTAATTTGGTTTGCATACATAACTGCATTTTGCTTGAATGGTAAGTAAAAACTAATTTAAAATGGGCCATAGAAAAGAAATCACTGGAAAGGTGGAACCAGGATGGTGGATTAGAAGCAGCAGTACACTGAACTCCCTCAACATTCCCCTCCAAAGAACTTTAAAATAATGCCTCAAATCCTATTTTGGAGAGCAGAGCCAACAAGGTCAGGGTGGGGCATTTTTCTAGCCTAAGAAAACTTAGAAGGTCAGTAGGAGAGGTCTGTGACACTGGGGTTGAGGCCCATTCAAAATGTACACACATGGAGGCAGTGCCAGCGGCAGCAGCCTGGGGAGCTCCAGCCCAGAGATGAGAAGGGGTTTGGACAACTGGTTAAAAAAGGTTTATGGGAGACCTTTTGCTGGCATTGGGTGCAGCTCTCACTGATTGGCAGCTCTATAGTCTGTAGCAGTTCTGGTTTGCAGGTCCATCCAAGAGGAGTGCTAGTGCTTGTAGCTTCAGGGAAGGCAGGGCCCCTTCATAAGTAAACACCAGAGTGGAACAAGAGAGCAGTGACCACACTGCTAATCTCCCCTAATCATACTATTTTGGAAGCACCAAAAACTTGGAGACCCCCAGAATCAGCTCTGAAAACAGCAGCTTGAAAAAGCCTGAATCTTGGGACAGTGTTTCCCCACCCCCAAGTGAGCAGAGCCCAACTTTAACATAAAGTTCAAAGCCAAGAAATAGGCTGGGAAAATAAACAAACAACAAAAAAATAATTTGACCAGAAAAAGTTATTCTGGTGGCTGGGAAGACCAAGACACAAACTCAGAAGACAACAGTGTAAAAACAGCAGCAAGCAAAGCCTCAAAAGGAAAAAATACCAGTTGGACACAAGTTCACCAAGAATTCCTGGAAGAGGGGCAGCTAGGTGACACAGTAGATAGAGCACCCAGCCTGGAGTCAGGAGGACCTGAGTTCAAATCTGGCCTCAGAGCAGACACTTGACACTTACTAGCTGTGTGACCCTGGGCAAGTCACTTAACCCCAATTGCCTCACCAAAAAAAAAAAAAAAGATTCCTAAAAGAGTTAGAGAGATAAGTATGATAAAGGGAAAAGAAATGAGAGTGATGCAAAAAAAATTATGAAAAGAGAATTAACAGCTTAGTAAAAAAAAATACTGAAGAAAATAACACCTTTAAAAACAGAATTAGTCTAATGATAAAAGAGGCGCAGAAATTCACTGAAGAAAAGAACAACTTTAAAAGCAGAATTGGCCAAATGGAAAAAGAAGTATAAAAGCTCACTGAAGAAAATAATTTCTTAAAAATTAGAATTGGGCAAGTGGAAGCTAATGATTCTAAGAGACATCAAGAAATGAAACAAAACAAAGTGAAACAAATGAAAAAATAAAAGAAAATGTGAAATATTTCGTCAGAAAAACAACTGACCTGGAAAGGAGATCAAGGAGAAGTAATTTATGAATTCTTAGACTACCTAAAATCTGTAATAAAAAAAAGAACGTAGACATATATTTCAAGAAATTATTGCGAAAAACTGCTCCAGTATCTTAGTTGCAGAGGGTAAAATAGAAATTAAAAGAACCCACCAGTTACCTCGTGAAAAAGATCCCAATATGAAAATTCCCAGGAATATCATAGCCAAATTCCAGAGCTCCCAGATGAAGGAGAAAATATTGCAAGCAGCCAGAAAGAAACAATTCATATATTGTGCAGCCACAGTCAGAATCACACAGAATTTAGTGGCTTCAACATTAAAGGACCAGAAGGCTTGGAATATGATATTCTGGAAGGCAAAGGAGCTAGGATTACAACCCAAGAATCACCTACCCAGTGAAACTGAGTATAATCATTCAGGGGGAATGAATCTTTAATGAAATTGAGGACTTTCAAGCATTCCTGATGAAAAGACCAGAGCTGAATAGAAAATTTGACATTCAAACAGAAGACTCTAGAAAAGCATAAAAAGGTAAACATGAAAAAGTAATCGTATGGGACTCAATAAAGTTAAACTGTTTATATTCCTGTGTGGGAAGATGATATATATAAAACTCCTTTAGAAGAACTTTATCATTATTAGGGCTAAAAAGGCGTTTACATGGACAGAGAGCATGCTATGAGTTGACTATGTTGGAATGATCTCACACACAAAAAAAATGAAGGGATGAGAAGGAAGAAGCAGAATGGAAGAAATTTTTCTCACACAAAAGAGGTGTACAAGGAAGAGCTTTTACAGTGGAAAGGGAAATGGGGGAAGGGGAAAAGAAGTGTTTGAACCTCACCCTCATCAGAAGTGGTTCAAAGAGGGAAGAATGTATCTATACATTCAGTTGTATATAGAAATCTATCTTACCCAATAGAGAAATAGGAGGGGAAGGGAGTACGAGAAGGGGGAGGGGGAACGCAAAAGGGAGTGTGGAGTAAGGGAGGCAGTGGTCATAAGCAAAACAGAGTTTTGAAGAGGGACAGGATAAACAGAAGAATCAACAGAAGAGAAGAGGATGGAGGGAAATACACAGTAATCCTAACTGTGAATGTGAATGAGATGAGCTCACCCATAAAACAGAAGTGGATAACTGAATGAATTAGAAGCCAAAATCCAACAATATGTTGTTTACAAGAGATACACTTGAAATAAAAAGACAAACATAGTTAAAATATAGGGCTGGAGCAGAATCTAATATGCTTCAGCTAAAGTAAAAAAGGCAAGCATAGCAATCATGATCTCAGACAAAACAAAAGCAAAAATAGACTTAATTCAAAGAGATAATCAGGAAAGCTCCATGTTGCTAAAAGGTGTAGACAATGAAGTAATTTCAAAAAAATTTTACAGCAAGTTTCTGTGATAAAGGCCTCATTTCCCAAGTATATACTGAATAGAGAACTGAGTGAAATTTATAAAAATAAGAGTTATTCCCCAATTTTTAATGGTCAGAGGATATGAACAGGCAGTTTGCAGAAGAAGAAATCAAAGTTATCTACAGTCATGTAAAAATGCTCTAAATCATTATTAATTAGAGAAAGGCAGATTAAAACAACTCAGATATCCACCTCAAACTTATCAGAAATGACAAATGTTGAGCCAATGAGGGAAAAAAATGGGTCCATTAATGAACTACTGTTGGAGTAGTGAAGTGATCCAGCCAATCTGGAGAACAAATTGGAACTCTGTCCAGTGGGCTATAAAACTATGCATACCCTTTGACCCAGCAATACCACTATGAGGTCTGTATCCCAAAGAGATTAAAAAAAATTAAAAGGACCTTTATGTACAAAAATATTTATAGCAGCTCTTTTTGTGGTGGCAAAGAGTTAAAAATTGAGGGAATGGTCATGAATTGAGGAATGGATGAACAAGTTATGGCATATGATTGTGATGGAGTGCTATTGTGATTTGGTGATTTAAAGCATTGTGCTTATAAGGAAAACAGCCTGATAGTATGTAACCAGACTGTTCAGATTGTTCAAGTCAATGGTGATTTAGAGCACTGTGCTATAAGAAATGATGAGAGGGGCTGTATCCCAAAGAGAGTATAAAAATGGGAAAAGGAATACACATGTACCAAAATATAGCAGCTTTTTTTGTGGTGGCAAAAAATTGGAAATTGAGAGGATGCCCATCAATTGGGGAATGGCTGAACAAGTTGTGGTATATGAATATAGTGGAATACTATTGTGCTATAAGAAATGATGAGCAGGCAGACTTAAGAAAAACCTGGGAAGACTTGTATGGACTAATGCTGAGTGAAGTGAGCAGAACCAAGAGAACGTTCTACACAGTAACAGCCATGTTGTACAATGATTAATGTTGATAGACTTAGCCCTTCTCAGAAATGCAGGGATCTAAGACATCTCCAAAGATCTCATGATGGAAAATGCTATCCACATCCAAAGAAAGAACTATGGAGTTTGAATGCAGATAGAAGCATACTTTTTGCTATTTTTTCTCCTTCTGTTTTGTTTTGTTTCCTCTTTCTGGTGGTTCCTCCTGTTGGTTCTGATTCTTCCTTACAACATCACTAATGTGAAAATGTGTTTAATAGGAATGTGTATGTATAGCATATGTTGGAGTGTGTGCTGTCTTGGGGAGGGAGGAGGAGAAAATTTAAAACTCAAGCTTATGGAAGTGATTGTTGATAAATAAAAATAAATAAATACATAAAAAGAAATGATGAGGGCAGTGGATTCAGGAAAACATGGCAAGACCTTTTTGAACTGATGCAAAGTGAAGTGAGAAGAACTGGGAGATCATTGTGCACCAGTAACCCCAATGTTGTAATGATGATCAACTGTGAAAGACCTGACTACTCTTATTAATACAGTGATCCAGGACTCATGATGAAAGAATGGTGTCCACCTTCAGAGAGAGTACTGATTAACTCCCTGAGTTTAGCAAATTGAAGTATTATTTTCTCACTTTATTTTTCTTGGGGTTTTTTGGGAAATATGGCTAATATGGAAATATGTTTTACGTGATTTCACATGTATAATTGATGTATTACTTCTCACTGCACAGAGGAGTGGGAGGAAAGGAAAGAATTTGGAATTCAAAATTTTAAAAGAAAAGAATGTTAGTAAATTTGAAAAAATTTTTTTAAAGAAATCACCATTAATGGGGCAGCTAGGTGGCACAGTGGATAGAGCACTGACCCTGGATTCAGGAGGACCTGAGTTCAAATCCGGCCTCAGACACATAACACTTACTAGCTGTGTCACCCTGGGCAAATCAGTTAACCCCATTGCCTAGCCAAAAAAAAAAAAAAAGAGAAAAGAAATCACTGTTAATTAAATATTAATCAGTTGAATATCAATATGGATAAAAATTAAGTGGATTCCATTCCTTATATCATACACTGCTAAAAAAAAAATTACAGAGGGATCCAAGAGTTAATCATTTTTCTGCTTGGATAGAAAGTATTCAAAATCTGAGTAGCAATTTAATTAAGTGACTTCTGAGTTCCCTTCTTATACTCTTTGATTTTTTTTAAATTCTGTATCCATGAATTATAAGCATATCCAATAAAAAAAAACTTTTAAACATCAAAGCAAATTAAAATTGAATCAAAAGGAGAATAACAGAATATGAGCAATAAGCATAACTGATAAAAATCCTACATTCAAAACATGAATAGAAACATACGATAAAAAGCTAGATATAATTAACCAAATAGTCAAAGGAAAAGTGAATTTATACTAAGTATCTATCTCAAAGTTTAAAAAAAAGAAAAACAAAAACGTGTTGCCTTCATAGACATACTAAACTAACAAAAGTCAATAAAAATTATAAAACCCAATATTCATGGCATGTAGGGAAACAGGTACATTTATCCATTTCTGATGCCACTTAAATTGATTCCATCTTTCTGGAAAACAACCTGATAGCAGGTAACTGACTATTCAGATTGTTCATAGCTTTTGACCAGGTGAGTTCCACCTTGTAGAATGTAACTCAAGGAAGTAATGCTTCATACCTCAAAAAATAAGGTTAGCAGCTATATGGCAAAGTAGATAGAGTACTTGCCTTTGAAGACTGAAAGATATGATTTCAAATCCTGCCTCAGACCCCTAGCAGCTGTGTGTCCCTGGGGAAATCACTTAAACTTTTTTAGCCTCAGTTTCCTCACCTATAAAATGAGTATAATAGTACTTACCTCATAGGGTTATTGTAAAGATCAAATGGAATAGTATATGTAAAGTACTTTGCAAACTTTGAAGCATGAATTTATACAAAAATGCCTACAGTGGCACCATTAATAATGGTGGGGAAAATACAGGTAACCAACATGCCCCAAAGTAGGAGAATGGCTAAGTTAAGTCTGATATATTAACACCAAAAAATACTATATGGCAATGATGTGCTCAGCAACTGTGGCTTGACCTGGAAATATGTATGTGAAATAATATTAGGTAAAAAAGTAGAACATACTGATTACAGTGTAGAAGTACGTGTTCCCATACAACAGACATTTGGCTGCCTACTTCTTTATCCGAGAAAATAACAACAAAACAGAAAAGTGTTTGAATGATACCAAGTTAATAATGTTGCATGGGTTGCTGTTTTGAAAATGTTGGTTTTTATGACTAATGTGAAAATATGTTTAATAGGAATGTGTACGTAGAGTCTATATCAGATTGTGTGCTGTCTTGGGGAGGGAGGAGGAGACAATTTAAAACTCAAAAACTTATGGAAGTGAATGTTGAAAACTAAAAATAAATAATTTATAAAAAATGCTGGGGTTTGATATTTTAAGGCTCTTTCATTTCATAGGTGTAGGTATACTTTCCAGATCTCTCTCTTTCTCTCTACACCCTCTCCACCCTCTCTCTCCCTCTCTTTTCTCACCCCCCTTTTTTTTCTTTCTTCCTCTTGTAGCCTGAGACATCAGGCAGATAGTCTGTCTCCAGGTCGTTGCTCAAAGCCTTTCCACGTTTAGTTAGGACTTTCCAGATGTTATTCTCTGCAGACATAGCCCTGAAGTGTCCAGAGTCACCACCATATCAGGCTAAGGCATTGAAGCAGTGCTTGAATAGAACTTTGACTTTTCTGTATGTGTATATAATAATAATAATTATATATTTGTTAATATATTTAGTAATTATATATTAGTAATTTTATATATGCAGAGGGAGAGTTGGTTTTATTAGTATAGGGACTGAAGAGTATGGAAACTGTCTCCCCTGTTTTGTGATATATACTATAAGATTCAGTGACTTGCTTCTAATCCCACAGCTGCTGTGAGTCAGAGGTAGGCCTTCAACCTGCGTCTTTGTAACTGTAAGGCCTTCCAGCCAGTGCCCATGCTATCAGAATTGGATTGTAGTTAACCGACAAAGTCAGTAATCCACCAGTAAATGCTCAAGTTGACCCCTGATTTGTGGGGAGAGAAAGAAAACAAAGTGTCTTTTGACTTTACATTTGAAAACAGTCTATAAATCCTGAACAATTAGGTCAGCAAAATAACATGTTTATGGGAATATGTTTTCTTTTTCTTTTGCAGTGCTTTACCGAAAAGGCCCGCCTTTTTACCATGCAAGGTTTGGAGCTCACAGTTTTGAAAAAGCTGCATTTTGGGATTACATGACAAGGAAATTGACAGCAATTTTAAACTTTGTCAGAGGAATTCTACTTTGACAATTGCTGTTGTCTGTCTTTTTTGGTTTGATTGGTACAGATACCAAATGACTTCACCTTGTTCCAGTTACTTCTTTGGTATTAAAATTCATGTTTTAGATTTGAACATTAATTTATATGGGGGGGGTTAAGTTAATGGTCTGCTTAGCAATTGTTTATCTTAACTTTGGCCAGTACCATTTTCTAAACAGTTAAATGAAGTCACATCCTCATGTTTTATGTAGGAAAAAATATATTATTAGTTTCTTCTAAGAAAGTAAATGTTAAACTCAGTGTGAAAGATTATCACTCAAAGTTGGTAAAAGTTGATGCTTTCACTGACAGTCTTAACAAAATTGAGGGTTGGATGATATACATTTTATTTCATTTGTCAGGAAAAGCAGTACTAGTTTCAGCAGACTCATTTCCTGTTTTTTATTTGGAATTATAATTTCCTTGAGTAAAAGACTCCTTTGTGTGTTTTCCAGTTATTCTGTCATTATTGAGTTGGTTAATGACAGTTTTGAAGGCTCACTTCGGAGACCTTTCAGCTGGAAGTCATTGGCCGGGTTAAACAGAATTACAGCTAATGTCTCCAAGGTAATGAAATGTTAATGAAGTCATTCATGACTGATTTAAATGTGTGGTCCTATCTGAAGAAGTGTTATGTTTGTTAACTAAAGATAACTTAACAGTGTTCTGCCATTTTGATTCTTAAAGGAATTTGCATCTTTAATAAACTCCTTCCTCTGGAGTGCCTTCTAGAAGGTTAGTCTTGCAGAGTGTGATCAGACATTACCTAAGTCCTGATAGCATTGCTTCTCTCTTCAAAAATAAGCTGAGATCCCTTGATTGAATGTATCAGTGTTTTAAACATATTCATGATTGAAGTAATGAAGTTCAGATTCCTTATCCCAGAAACAAGAGATGCTTCCTTGGAAGTCCACTTTGTAAGGTCTACTCTGGATATAGGTGAGAAGCTGGAACACATTTCTGACACAATGCTGTGCCTGTTTCCTGGCAAGCAGGGTTTCACAGAAAAAAATGACTGCCCTGGTGGATAGCCAGAAAAAGCTGAAAGAACCTATTAAGCAGGTTAAAATTTCCACAGGACCTTTGTCTGTGAGGGTACACGAGGATACAAGATACACCAAGTGAGGAGGCCAAAGCAAACATTGGTGAGGAAAAACCCCCAGGGGACCCTACTAAGGCAAAACCACCTAAGGAGGACTATGGAGGGCAGAAGACTAATCCTGGAGAGGCAAAAATCTCAAAGGAGAAGGAAGTTGGGGGGGACGCTAAAGATATAAAACCTGCTCAAGAGGAAGCTGGGAAGCCACGGTGAACCAAAATCCACTAATGAAGAGGCTGGGACCCTTACGAAGAAGATGGCTAAGGCTGCCTCATCTCAGAAGGACGTCCATCGTATGAATGACCGAAGGAACTCAAGTGCCAAGAACATGATGATGATGATTTGGTGGTGTAACCCTCTGACAGGCTAGGAAAGTCTATGTTTAACCACCAGTTATGATGGTTCATTACATCCCACAGACCTTGGAAGAAGCAAGCTGTAATCCTGGCTTTTCTCTTTATCCTGCTATTGACATGCTTTTTTTTTTTTTTTTTTGAGGGCCTATACTCAATAAAAATTACTTTGTTGGAAGAGGAGGAAAAAAAAACAAGCTCCTTGCTCATTAGACAAAGAATCACAAGCTTGGATTTTGTAATCAGTCCCTGCCTACATATGCCTGAGCTGTTGTCCAGCTTGAAGACTTGTAGGAAGGAGCAACCATCCCTTTGGAACAAGCAGGTCTTCCTTATGTCACACCTAACTCTGTTTTTCTGTAGCTTCCTTTCGTTCTCTCCAGTTCTTTTTCAGGAGCCAAAATAGAACAGGTTTGGGCATCTTTTATTCAGCAGCCCTTCAAATATTTGAAGAAATCGATCATATCCCCTTAAGTCTTCTCTTCTCTCTTATAGTTGTGAAGCTGATTTTTTTAATCCAAGTGTAGAGCTTTACACTTGTTCCTGTTGAGTCTCATCTTATTTTATTCAGTCCATCATTTTAGCCTTTTGGGATCTGAACTCTATTATCCAGTTATGAATTCCCCATGAAAGTGTTGTGTTATCAGCAGATTTGACAAACATACCTTCTATGCCTTCACCCAAGTTGCTGATAAAAATGTCCCATTGCACAGGGCCAAAAATAGCTTCCTTGGGGATGCCACAAGAACCTTCCTCCAAGATGAACTTGAGCTATTCATGAGCACTATATGGCCTCAGCCTAGCGTCACCTGTTCTGGATAACTGGCTTTTAGTAATCATTGCTTCCTTCTCCAAATGCTCACAAACCATCTTCTGTGCATTTCTTTCTCATTACACAAACATTTATTAACCACCTAATATGTTCAAGATGCTGTGTTTAATACTAGAGATACACAAACAGAAATCTAAAATCAGGCCCCTCCCTCAAGGAGCTTACATTCTATTATATCTATTTTTTAAGAGTTAGTCAATGAGTTCCATGTACATATACTTCAATATCTTTAGACAGCTCTTTTTCCTTTGCATTAGAACTATTTCTTTTCAAGTCTTCAGTATTTCACAATTTTGAAAACATTGACATTGATTTTTTTTTTCAAACTATCTGAAGAGGGAAGATGCTGAATAATTGGAAAATTCATAGGCAGTTGTATCAAAGGCACTTAAAAGAATGTCAGTAACTACCAATTAAATAAGAGTTTCTTAATGTGGCCATTCCAGCTTAATGCAACTGAATCAAAGCTATTTCCATTGAGTTAAAGAATTTTAAATGGAGAATATTTGATCAGCTTTTGTTACCTATTTCATCCCTTTATTTGGTAGCAAAGATCCCTCCAAATGAGTGGTTATGTAGTAAATTAGCATTCAAGATATAGATAAGAAAAGGAAAAAAAAATACATGCACAAAACTTACATATGCTAATAAAAATTTTAAAGGATATTCTTTATAGCCAGCTGGAGATAGGAGGGATGCTTGCTTCAGTCTTTTAAGTGTTCTTCTAGATTGGGGGGAGGGGAGAGTAACAACTCCCAAAATAACTTCCCATATCTGATGTGTCTTAGTGATGCTCTTATTTTTTCAGTAAGCTGAAAAAGATGGTCTAATTGATGTGGAAGCAAGGTAATATCTATTTGCCTCCATTTCCATATTGTGCTTTGGGATTTTTGAGCATGTTAATTGGTTGAGAAGAATGAGAAGCATAAGATTGGAATGCCTCTTTCCCCAATCTACATGAGGCCAAAAAGTGAAAATGTAGGCAATTTGTGTGGCCATGAATATTCCCAGGGAGTTCCATCTCTACACTGCTTATTAGACTTCTGGGAGCCAAGATGGCAGAGTAAGCAGTAAGTCGCTCTCACCCTTTCTTATTGACCTTGAAAAACCCGGAGAATATTGCCCCAGGAAAAATCTTGGAATAGTGGAGCCAGCAGAAAGACTAGATACAGCAGTCTTTTAGCTAGGGAGGCTAGGGGGATTAATGGGAAAGGTCCCTCTTGCTGTGACTGAAGGGGACCAGTACAGAAGGTGTCCCAGCAAGCCAGTGGCAAGGTCCACCTCGGCCAACCAGCAGGAGATTGTGAGCCCCAGGGTGAAGGAACAGGCAAGTGCCAACACCAGACACATACCAGCCACCACCACCAGCTCCAGCTTAGCACCAGGTAAACTTCCAGATGCCTCTAGCCTCCAGCTGCCAACACCTGAAGCCCCTGCACACAAAACCAGTAAGCAGGCCCCTAGCCCCCAGCACAGGAAGCCTAGGACAGTACCCCCTGTGCCCCAGAAGCAGAGATCAACTTTAAAAGCCAGAAAAAAGGCAAACAACATGAGTAAGAAGCAACAAAGAAAAACAGTAACCATAGAGAAGTATCTTGGTGACAGGGAAGATCAAAACATAAATTCAGGAGAGGACAACATTGTCAATATACCCACATCCAAAACCTCAAAGGGGAATATGAACTGCTCTCAAGCCCAAAAAGCCTTCTCGGAAGAGCTTAAGAAGGATTTTAAAAGTCAAATAAAAGAGGTAGAAGAAAAATTGAACAATTCCTTTAAAAATACACTGCTTACCAATGCAAGAAAAAAATGACCTTGAGGTATTTTCTCAACTGAGAGATCAAAGTCTTTTTAATAGAGCTTTTTTACAACTTTTCAATCAATAAACAATCTGTAAGGATTTATGATTAAGCTTTTCATATCCTAGTCACCATGCTAAGCACTGCAGATGCAAAGACAATGTGGAAAAATTCCATGACTTCAAGGACTTTACATTCCAAGTGAAAAGACAACATGTACATAGGAATATATAAGACACGTTCAAAGCAGATACAAGTTAACCTTGAATGAGGAGGGGAAAGGGGGGACCAAGAAAGGCCTCCTGCAAAATGTGGTGCTTTGAGATGAGTCTTGAAGAATTCTAGAAATTACAAGATGGGAGGGAGAGCATAGAAGACATGCATAGAGACAGGAGTGTATTGTGTCAGGAGCAGTAAGTGGGCTACTATAGCTGGACCGTAAAATGCATAGAAGGGGAGTCATTTGAGGATACATAGAGAGGGAGGACGGGATCAGGTGGTGAAGAGTTTTAAATGCCAAACAAGAAGAGTAGGTATTTGATCCTAGAGGTAAAAATGAGCCACTGGAGTTTATTGAATGGGATAGAAGGTGGGGATATAGTCAGGGCCTGAGATTTAAAGAAATCATTGTTTGTAGAATGGATTTGAATGGGGAGATATTTGAGGTAGGGAGACCAAATAGGTGAGAGGTGTTGAGGATCTGAACTGTGGCGGTAGTTGCTTAACTGGAGAAGAGGGGACATATGTAAGAGAGATTGTGGAGACGAGATTTGGCAACTAATTAGATAAGTGGGATGAGCTGGAATGAAGAGTTGAGAGTGATAACAAGGTTATAAATCTAGGTGGTTAAAAGGATGATAATGCCCTCTTCTCTAGTAATTGGGAAGTTCAGAAGAAAAATAGATTTTGGGGAAAAGACAGTGAGTTCTTTTATGGGCACATTAAATTTGAGGTGGCTGTGGGATATCTAGTTCAAAATATCCAATAGGCAGTGGGTAATAAGGGACTAGCACTCAAGAGAGATACTAGGGCTCTAAGTCATCTGCATAGAGATAATAACTAAACCCATGAGATTTGATGGGATCACCAAGTAGGAGAATATAGAGAGAAAGGAGGAGCCAGGACTGAAACTTTTCTACTCAGATTCTACATATGAATACTTAAATCAGATTATCTAGGGGGTAAAAATAATTTCCAGTGAACAAGGATCCTAAGTTGGAGGGGGGGAAAGACCTCAACTCTTAATATAACAAGGTGTATTATGAAATGTGTATATGTATTTTTACATTCTATAGCAATATAAATTTGTTTACATTACTGGAGGAAAGATAGCTCTTGTAGTTACAAAACTTCTAAGAAACAATCAGTTAACAAACATTAGAAACAATCTTATGTATTGTAAGAAGGGTTATAGCAAACACAGACGCTGTAAAATGAATTATAGTAGTTGTCATTGAACAGGCTCTACAACACAAATGCATGTGTATTTTCTCTTAAAAAAAAAAAAAGAAAGAAAGAAAACTTTCAGCATAAGCTCCAAGTGTATAAAGAGTATCTATGATGAAAACCTGAAAAGGAAACAGGCAGGCCACAAGTAATATTCTGCAGCAGACCACATCTTCACAGGCAAAGGAAGTAATAGCCCATTAATTGTTTATTGATTTATTTAAAAAGCACTTGACTTGAGCAAAGTATACAGCTTTATAAGACTTTCTTCCAACAAAGTAATTCTTGGGTATGTTAAGATCATGTGAGATTCCTGGATAGACTTAGTGACACAGGACTTTGTTCAGTGATACATAGATAACCAGAATCAAACTAAGCATAGAGCAGAGAGACAAATCCATACAAGTGCCATTTTATCATGGTCATGGAGGAATTCCCTACATAGAGTCTTAACAGAAGAACAGTTCCCTATTGGCAGTGAAGTTCTTCATGTGCTCATGTTGCTAGGTGGCATTTTGCATTTGCGTCAAGCCCCAGAATTCTACAATGCCATCTCTGAGATTAATGACCAATCAAAAAGACACCAGCTTAACAATCAATACAGGAAAAACCAAATGGATGAAGAATACCTATTTTCTGGACTGTGACTTGAAGTTGAATGAGTAGCCCATTTGGTCAGTCCATATCTACAGAAATCAGACAAAGACAGATGAAGCCGATGGACAGTGAACTGGGGACGATGAAGGGAAGAGAAAAAAGGGATTAGCAATTGGAATGCCAAGAAAAGAGGCACTGTAGCATTTTAAAAAGGCACCAAAGAGAACAGAAGAAAACTAGACAAGCAGTACAGCTTTGAAACTAGTGTTGACTTTTTTTATATTTTTTAAAAATTCAAGCTGAGTGTGATAGGTGATTTTATATACAGTCCTCTTTTTCTGGTCTTTGTGTATGGAAATGCTCATGTTTGATGATGATTGTCAAAAACATAACAAAGGTTTAAAATAGAATTTATGGGTTGACATGGACTAACATTGCACAGGATGTGTTTAAACAGTGTGGATGGGTGGTGATCTATACACCTGGAGGCAGTGCCCACCTCAGTGAGACCATGGATCTCTTGAAGTGTGCTTGATACAGGGAAATCACTGCATATGGCATATTTATTTCCTCTTTTTTTTTTAGGATTTGGAGCACAATTTTGATGTTTCAAATTATCATGGATATTTATAGTTGTTATATCTTTGGTTTTGTGACATACTGCCTGTCATGGGTATAGTTTATTTGATGTCAGGTTCTTGGCCAGGAACACATTCCCCCAATTTAACATTGTTCCTGTGATTCATTGTAGCGTGTTCCCTTTTATGACAACAAGGTGTATAAACACATTGTGATGAAAAGGAGAGACTTCCTGTATTTGTAATAGAGTCATCTATGTTTGTAACAAATTGGATTCTTTATAAGTTGTGGAGTTTGTTTTGTTTTTCAACAGGAGCTTCTGTTATGCTATTTGATTAGACCATCTAATATGACTGACAAGGAAATGGAGTCACCAGAATGTCTGAAAAGAATGCAAGTTCAGGTGAGCTGATTCAGATTCAGATTATCACTCAGAAGGTTCTGCTTGTTGAAGGAAATTAGCTATGACATCTGTGGAAAAGCCGAAATAGAAAACCAGCTTTCCCTTTCTTTTTTTTTTTTTTTTCTTTAGGCAGTTGGGTTAAGTGGCTTGACCAGGGTCACACAGCTAGTAAAGTGTGAAGTGTTTGGTCTGAGGCCAGAATGGAATTCAGGTCCTCCTGACTTTCAGGGCCGGTGCTCTATCCACTGCGCCACCTAGCTGCCCCTTGAGCTTTCCCTTTCTTGCCCCTTGGATCTCTCTCCAGTGCTTCTTTCCCTTCTGCCTTCAAACTTCTATGGATCTTCCCCAACCTCAGTCCTTCCTGCTTATCTTCTTATACTCTTTCCTTTGCCAGACCCATTGAACAGTTAGGGTCTATCTGCTGCCAAGATTTCTTCATCATACTTTTCAACATTAACATTCTGAAATTTGGCTCCCAACCATGCCCCTCTTTCTTCTAAAGCTGCTCTTGTGAAGGTTGCTAATAAACAAACTATTCGTTAAACCCAGCAGTCTTTTCTTAAGCCCTCACTCCCTTTGACTTTTCTCCTTGTTTGCCACTGTCAAACCACTCTCTTTTCCTTGAAATTAATTTTCTTTGACTTTTTTGATATTACATTATTGGGCTGCATCAGTTTTTTTCTTCTCTGCAACCTTTACTGGGTCCCTTTCTCTGCACAAAATGATTTCCAACTTTGTTATGTACTACCTTGAACTATCTTCTGATTATTTCACATATATTCTTTTTTTCTCCGTTACTATTGTAACCTGAGGATGAAGTAGTATCTTCTTTATTGAACTCACACAGTGCCATGGCGACTAGTGAAACTTCTGCAAGGTTCTCTACCATGTTACATTATCTACTTTAATGCTCCCATATTTTAGTTCTGATATTTGGGGAGGTTGGCGTTTTTTTGGGGGTTAAGTGACTTTTTGAGGATTTGAACTCAGGTCCTCTTGACTCCAGGACCAGTGCTCTTATTCACTGCTCCACTTAGCTATTCCTTAGCTCCGATATATGAAAGTTAACTCTGTATTACATAATGTATCTATTTTTATATACACACACTATTATTTGGGCTCAAAAGGATTGAGCACTGGCTTTCATACCACTCGTACTCTTTCTGAAAAGGTGGAGCTCCCCAGATCAGAGCTGGATAAGCAACAGGAGTTTACTGCAATGAACACTCTTTGCACTGCAGATTTTTTTTTATTGAATTTATGTTTTGTCACTTGTTCACATTCAAGGAATATAAACAAATCAAAGCATTCTTTCATTTCCTTCAAGTATAAGTTGAGGCTCTTGAAATCATTTCCTCGTCTTATAAAAGCCATTGTTTAAAAAGCACCAGATTGTCAACATGTTTGAGGGTATTAGCTAGTCTCGTTCTAGTGAAAGTAAAACTAAAGATAAGAACATGCAAAATATTTGTAGGGTTATTTTGGGTTTTTGTTTTGTTTTGTTTTGTCATGATGATTTTTGGGGGGTGGAGGGGTTAATAGTTGACTGATTTCCAGTCAGCTATATATGATTGCCTATTGGATATTTTAAACTGAATGTACCATAGTCATCTCAAACTCAACATGTCCAAAATTAAACTCATTATATTTATACACGAACTCACCCCCTCACAGATGTCCCTAATTCTCTTGAGGGCACCACTATCGTTCCAACTTGCCAGGTTCAGAACTTCCATGTTATCCTTGATTCCTCATGCTCTCTTGCCCCACATATCTAATCATTTGTTAAATATTATCTACACATCTCTGGAATCTAGCCCCCCGCCCCATTCTCACACAGCCCCCCATCCTGTTTCTGGCTATCATCCCCTTTTGCCTGGACTGTTGCAATAGCCTCCTAATTTTCCTCCCTCTCTTTCCAGTCCATCATCCATCTAGCTGCCAAAGTGATTTTCTGCGTGGCAGATCTGACTGTGTTACTCCCTGGCTCAGTAAATTTGAATGGTTCCCTTTGCCTCCAGGATCAACTCTAAGGTCCTCTATTTAATTGTGAAAGCCCCTCACAGCCTGGCCCCAACCTCCCTTTCCTGCCCTCGACAGCCCAGCCAGACTGACCTTGCTCTTCCTCATCCATGACATCTACTTCCCCCTCTGCTATTCCACCAGCTCTCTTTTATGCCTGGAAGGCACTGTCATCTCCCAGGGCCTCTTAGAATCCCGTTTCATCCAAAACTATGGGTAGCTGACAATTTCAGCATCTCTGCTTTTCATAATTCCTCAGCTGCCAGTGCTTCTTCCCTAAAAATTTCCCTTGTGTATGTATTTATATTTTGTACATGCTTATAAATGTACGTGTTGCCTCCCCTGGTAGAATGTAAACTTTAGGAAAAGGATTGTTTCGTTTTGTCTTTGTATTCCTAGCACCTAGCACAGGGTAGATAATTAGTAAGTGCTTGTCAGCTGACTGACTGATTGATTGATTGATGGAGGTTTTTTGGTTTGTTTTTATTTCAGGAAGTAATCCTGAGTCGTTGGGTTTCTTCTCGAGAGCGAAGTGACCAAGAGGAAATTTAACACACAAGCCAAAAATACAAATTCCTAATTCACTAACAAGTATTTACTGAATACCAATTATGTGCCCAGGCCTGGGCAAGGTAAAAATAACAGATCCTTTGCCTCCAAGTCTGCTACTCCTTCATTTAAACCATACTACCTCACCAAAGGGGACAGCCAGCCACAGGGTGCCCTCAGAATGTTAACTTGATTGAATTAGTTTCTGCAAGTCTCATATCTGAAAAGAGGTACTTGACATAACAAAATATTTCAGCTAGATAGGGAATGAAAATGTCAAAGTAAGTTAACAAGCTCTTTAATTGCCTCAGCCAGAAAAGTTGGCAAAGCACTCTCAGAATTTTTCTAGAGATGTGTATGGGAACAAACAGTCCAAAAAAGCTGCAGCAATATAAAATAGCTAAGTGCCTAAGTTCCTCCGAGGAGGATAAATGATGCAGGCTTTAATCCTGACTGTGAGGAGAGTAGGAAGGCTGGGTAGGTGACGCAGATTTAGTGGAGATGATAGTGAGTTTAGTGTAGGATGTGTTGAGATAAAAGTACCAGAGGGACATTCCAGTACAGATGCTCAGGCAATTAGAGATTTAGGACAGGAGTTTTAGGGGAGATTAGAGCTGGCTAGACTATAGATTAAGCAGTAATCTGCATAAAAACAATGCCAAAAACATTGGAGGAATGAGGAAGATTGAATGGACAAACAATCCTGGTGAGAAACTGGGGACAAGGGAATGAAAAAGTATTTTGTGAGCCTGGGCATTGAAACTAATTTAAATGTTCATAGTTACTATACAAGTTTAATTATTTTATTGGTTAGAAACTTTAGTAAAGCACAAGAGGAAAAGAGGTTATGGTGATCTTTGAGAGAATTGATACTGGGTTATGTGAACTGAAAAATGCTGATATTTGGGACATTTTTATTAGCCACAATGCCTATATTCCAATACTGAAAGACATCAGTGAATCTGTGATGTCAATGATGTGGTGCAGAACCCAGCCTATCTACTTCTTTCCATCTTGTGCACGCCCTACTATAAATGTTCCACAGATGCTCCAGCCAGCATGGACTTCCTTTAGAGCCCTTGATATTACACAGATACCAGTATAACAGGGTTATCCATTATCCCCTCCTCTTGCTCCATGAGCAGCCCTGCTCGTTTCCAGTTATACATCTCTCTGTTAATCTTTTATGCCTCTTCTTGTGAGCAATTTGATGTTGGTAATATGCGTAGGCTATTTATGCCTATTATTTGTCCTTCCCTTTGGTCGACCCATAATTTTGATTTCCTTGTATAACATGGTTTCCAGTCACATAAAAAGTCCCACTTTTGACATGTTATCTTTCTCCTCATGGCAGAAAGGTACAGAGACTATAGGAAAAGAATCATACATAGACTTTCAGATAAGAATATTATATAGATTGTTTTTGTTTAACTGTTTTTATTTGTTAAAAGATTCAGACTCAAATGAAGAGATAAGAGAAGCCACCCCCCACCCCCAATCTACCCATTTGTGAAGGTGGGAGGTCCACAGGTGTTATGCATCCCACCTGGTTTTGGACTTTTTCAATGTATCAATCAGTTGAGCTTTTTCTCTTGCTCTAAAAAAAAAAATACTTCATTATATGGGATGGTGCTCAGTGAGTGGGTGGAGGAGGAATATATGGGATACTATAGTGATACAAAAGAAACAAAAATATAACTTATTTTTTTAAAGTAAGGGTCAGTGCTATGGGGGGGAGGGGCAATATATCCAGGAATGATTGTGAAATAAATATATCATCAATACAATTTAAAATAAAGATTAAACTCAATAACTTCATCGTGGCAGAGAAGTATTCTAGATTCTTAAAGGACAGACCAAAGCAGCAAGATTTCTGGCAGGTTATGCCATGCCATGTTGTGCAGAAAAGATTTCCAGTATGGTGCTGGTGATGAACTATGTCTGAGGAGTAGACTGGCTGATGATGAGAAGCCCCATCACCAGCAGGCTGGCCACCAGGTAGTGAATTCTTCAGCCATGACAACCCACTGTGGAGAAGATGGAAAGTTCAGGAATCGATCCCTTGTATAGTAGCTCTCCAAACTTCATCTCCTCTCTTGACATAGTGCATTTTAAAATTTCATTCATAAATTGTTCCCCTAAGGAAGATTTGTATCTGAATCAAGGCGATCAATAATGTAGAACCCATGTTCTTCTACTGCCCGATAGAGAGTGATATACTTAGAAGCTCTCCTTGCCTTTGGTACCACAAATTTCTCGGTGAATTCATCTTTGTCCAATTGATGCTTCCCCTCTGCAGTCAGTATATAATTAATGAATGTCAGGGCATAAGTATAACAGTTGTGGCAATGTTCTTCATACCTTTGAAAACAAATTCAGTCACTTAAGAAGGAATTTGATAGGTGACAAGGGCAAAGCCATCCTGAGGAGCTGTCAAATCACTGGCTTACACTTTGGGTACATCCTTCCTACTTCACTCTCAAGTGCTTTTAGGGGTGTGTTGAAGTTAAACCTAGCCAGGGTGATCATAAAAGCATTGGTTGACTTCCATTTGTTTCTCCATGCTTAGAAGTGAACAATTAAAGGGGAAAAAAAGTTGAAATTTGGAGAGCAGGCACATAAACTGTACACTTCTTTTGATAGATATATATAATAGCATCATGGTGAGCTGAACCTGGAGTCAGAAGAGCTGGGTGGGCTTGAATCCCACCTTGGACATTTATTAGCTGTGTGACCCTGAGCTAAATCTCACTGAGCTTCAGTTTCTTCACTTCAAAAATAGGGAGAGCAGAAGCACTGACCCACAGGGTCATTAAGACACTAATGTGAACTAATATATGGGAAGTGCTTTGCAAACCTTAAAGGCCCCATGTAAGTGGAAGCTATAGTTAAGTTTTAACTTAATAATAATTCAATTCCTGATTGTAGTACCATGATTCCTAGCCTAAATTATATTAATCATCTACAGATCCTAACTCTGGAATTTTTTTTTTTTTTTTTTTTGGCTAGGCAGTGGGGTTAAGTGACTTGCTCAGAGTCAGACAGCTAGTATCAAGTGTCTGAGGCCAGATTTGAACTCAGGTCCTCCTGACTCCAGGGCTGGTGCTCTATCCACCGCACCACCTAGCTGCCCCTAACGTCATGGAATTTTAGAACTTAAAGGGACCCTGGAAATAATTTAGTTTTTGAGAGCTAAGGAAACAGACTCAGGAAGATAGAGGAACCCGTCCAAGGTCACACAGTTAGTGGAAGGACTTGGAGCTCCCAAAGCAATGCCCTTTCCATTCTCTCTCCTTTGCTTTGGTGATTGTCTAGAGTGGTCCCATTTATTCCAAGGAATGTCTCAGAAACAGAATTTATTTCATAGGTTTAAAACTGGAAGGGACCTCAAATATCTTCTGGTCTGACCCCCCCCTCCTTTTATGGATGAGGGTGATTAAGTTCACACAGGTAAGTTGAGAGGTGGGATTTGAACCCAGGTCTCTGACTTCTGAGCTAATGCTCTTTACTCTGTATTAGGCTGTTTCTCTGAATTCATGGTAAGTTTTAAAAGACAGATAGATGAAAGGAAGGTAGCAAGGGTGATGGTCATGAAATTAACTAATATTAGTGTGTACAAGTGTGAAGATCGCTACTTGAGAAATTTGCCTGGAAATATGTGAGAAGAGAAGAAAATAGTAATTTCTCTGATTTTGATCTTTGTGAAGTTCCTCATCCCCACCCAAGTTTAATTCAATCTGAAATGTTCTGGTTGTGGTTTTGTTCATGTAAAAGAATCTATCCTGCTTTCATGTTGACCGGCTTTGCAGAAAATTCACTGACCCAGATTATGCAGCCCCAGTTGGAATTTTGTAATGTACTGTGGTAGCCTAAAAACCTGTTTTCTGGGTGTCTCATCTTTCTTATGACAGGTCGTCTCTGATCCAGACATGAGCACTCATGTGCCTGCCCTGCCCCTTTTCCGGAATCCCCAATGTCTAGAATCTTTCTTACTAGAAACTTCTAACCTCACTAAATGTCACCTCCCTGCCTAATGAGAAATCCATCAGACATGCCTTGCTAAAACCCCACCTCTTCCTTAAAATCTCTGATCTTCCAAACTGGGAACAGACCTGTTGTTTGTAACAATTGTGGGCCAGCCTACTTGCCCACCACCTAAGGAGAGACAAGAATCCAGCTGTCAGATCAGGAGGAGGCCTCTTACGGGGTCACCAACCACCTTCCTGCTCAGAAAATCATCTTTCCCAAGGCCCAGACCACCCTGTGTTGGCTGAGTTGCAAATATACCCTGTCCCTCAGAATATCTGGTTCCCACTTGTGACCCTGTCACAAATCTTCCTTGGGTGAGTTAAAACTCATTGAATAAAGACCCATTTCATTTATATCATTGAGGAGTCTGTTAATCCTGGGGAAATCGCTAACATTTCACAAAAAGTGGCTATTGGGGATCATAATACCTGGGGATAGTTTTGTTATCCTATTAGGGTCTATGGAACTACATACCTGTTTGGAGACCAGGCATCTGTTGCGGAGAACTCTTCCAGATATTTATCCCATTGGTCCATCAGTCCAAACATGTTGGGCTGTAATAGTGGAATACTTATACTCTGTTCCCACCCAACTTCATCTCTGTGGACACCTTGCTCATTGTAATTATACACAATTCCTATTTTTAAAAAAAAATCAAACTGGTCAAAGAACATGATTATGAATTCTGCTTTAGAGGAAACATCACGGAAAAGCAGCTACAAAATCATTACTTCACACATAATCAGACTTTCTAATATGGAAACAAAAACTTCCCAAATAAAGATTGGTCTGGTATCAGTGGGTCCCAGGTTCTTGAGTAGAAGCAAGGAGAAACTCTCCAGAGGGCCCTTCCTGTGGCTGGCTCCTGCTTTCCCACAGAAGCACGTCACTACAGTAAGCTTAAGGGAAACTCTCTCCAAATTCTTTAGTTGGAATAAGTTCTGTTTTGTAGATAAGTTGGTCAAGTTTCCCTAAAGAAAAAATCTACAACAAATTAAACTATTAATTCTGTGGTCTGATTGGCTACTCATGTGGGTAGAATTTGTGCCTACCTTCTGACTTAAACTAATTTAATCCTTGGGTTTGCATTCATTGGAGCTGAATATATGAATATGGTAAAGGGAGAATGGCAAACTATATTTTAAGAAATGAGTACGGTCTACACCAGGATAAAACCCAATGATTAAAAGACCCCAAAACCTATTCAGTGAGACTATGGATCCATAAATCTAGTGCTTAGCACAGTACAGAGCTTGGCATATAGTAAAAACCCTTTACAAAAAAAAAAAAAAGAAAAGCTTTACCAAAAAAAGCTTTCACCTATTTAAGGAGAGAGGTGAGTTTAATACCTGTAAAGAAGATATGATAGGTTTGCAGCTACACTTCACCAGTCTGGCCAGGTGAAGTCCTGGGGTAATTTGCATGGTCTCAGGCTAGTGACCAGACACACAGGAAGTGACTTGATAGGAATGTGGACGTGCTAAATCAAACAGTCTAAACTCAGTGACAATTCAGGCAGAAGCAAAGGAGTTCAAAAAAGACAGAACCTCAGTCTAAGGGCTTTTGGCTGCTTGGCTGGCTGGTGCTATGATGTGGCTATGGGTATGATTCACAAAATAAGTGAAATAGTCCATGGGGTTATGGGCTAAAAAGAGCTGAAACCCTTCCCTGGAGAAGTCAACACAGCATTTGCCATTCTGTGGAGGACAAACAAAACGTATCAGCAGCTGGAAACACAGGTTATAGATCAACGACACCATCAGATCGGCAGTTGACCTCAGCTGCTCTGCAGAGAAGCAGCTGATACATTGTACAACTCCCCAGCTCTGGCTGAGACATTGCCCTAGAAGTCTGAGCTACCCTTTCCATTTGTATTCCATAATATATGTGCCTTCTACTACACATATAGGGTGTCCCAAAAGTCTTTATACAGTCTTAGGCTTTAGTAGCTTACGTATATATTCCTTCTCCCACTAGTTATAGAAATATGTGGTACAGTATGCCCCTATTTGTATGAGATTTTTTCCTTGTCATTTATTGTTTTATGCAGGATATTTATCTTTTACTTTTATTTAACATTAATCAGGACTCATGAGGCAGTTTTGAATAGATGATGACACAAAACACATCTTGAATCTGAGGTAGCTTTCCGCAGACCCATATTTGAAGGGAACATGGGCTACACATATATTATCTCATTTGCTCCTCATTACAATCCTTCATGTTAGGTAAGAGAGTTGTGTAATTCTCCATTTTGTAGGTAACTAGGTGGCACAGTAGATAGAATGAGGGGCCTGGAGTCAGGAAGACTCATCTTCCTGAGTTCAAATCTGGTCTCAGCACTCACTAGCTGTGTGATCCTGGGCAAGTCACTTAACTCTGTTTGCCTTAGTTTCCTCATCTGTAAAATGAGCTGGAGAAGGAAATGGTAAACTACTCCAGTATCTTTGCCAAGAAAACCCGAAATGGGTTCACGAAGATTCAGACATGACCGAACCATTCAGCTAAGGCTCAAATGCCCCAAACTACACAGCTGGTAAATAAGTCTCCAGCTTCCTTCAAGACTCAGATCATGGGCAACCTTCTGTGATCACTGTCCTTTTCTTCTTCCTCAAATGTCATATGTATAACATCTATTTATGGGTTATAAATTTCTTCCTCCCTCCTTTGAGGGAGAATGTTAGCTCCTTAGGGTTAGGGAGCCCCCTCACCTCACCCTTCTCAGTAGGGTGTGTATCCTACATACCTAGTACCATGCCTGGTGCATAGTAGGAGCTTAATACCAGGTACATTAATTGATGCAATAAGGTGCTTGGTCCTGTGAGGGATTCTTACATAAACATTTGGAGAATTTAACCTAACTGAACCTGGGAGAACAGGAATGAAAAGATAAGGAAATCATTTTACCACGTGTATTGGTTATTCCAACATGGAGGTCGGCATTTCCATCATAGTCCCTGAAAAAAAAAATTTTAAGAAATTTTCTATATTATCATTTCTTTTCACTTGAAAAACTTATAGCTGATAATACATACAATGTCCTAAATTAGAATGATCAGGAAGAATATTATTATTCAGAATAACTAGAGCCCAGCTCAATGATGGACACATAAGACGGTGCTTAATAACGCTTGTGCACTGATTGTTGACTCACATCAGTAATGGGCTCCCCCTTAAATACCTATGGGACCATTAAGGTACAGGAGGGAGGAAGGGACATAGAAGCCAGCACAGGATGGTGCCTTCTACTGCCAAGCCACGGCTGTACGGCTCAGTAAGCATCCTGGGGGAAGCAATGTTCTCTGAGCCCTTTGCTTTATGAGTGCAGTAGAATTGGGACTGCACACGGCAGATACAGACATTATGCCATCAACACCTTAGAACAGGAGAAGGGCAGGGAATATATGTAAGAGTGTATTCAGGAAACAAGTGGAGTCAGCCTCCCTATGCCCCATATCTATATATATCCACATGTAACTCCTATATCTTGCCTCTGGGAGACCATAATGGTTCCCTGCAACTGGTTTCTCATTTCTGTCTCAAACTCTTAGATTTGTGGCTCTCTGAAAAAGCACTTCTATTGGCCTAGCCTAGTTTTGCTTCATACTTATTTAAATCCTGATTCAGACCTCATCCCTCTCTCCCAGAAGGGGGCTGCCTATCTCTAGTCTGGGTCCATACTCAAAGCCTCTCCAACTTAGTCAGACCTGATGGAGTTTATATGCATGGCCTTTAAGAGCCCAGTGTCACCTCCAGGCCATGATAAAGCAAGAAGGAAGGTGGGGGGTGGGAGCAGAGAGTTTAATTTTAACAATTTAATATATCTTTGGGTAAATGTGCATTTAATATCTCTGGGAGGTGAAGAGACTATTAGTTATTGACATATTAATATGATTTTAGTTGTTAGAATTTCAACCCTAAGAAGAGCTTTGGAGATCATACAGTGTGGCCCACTAATTTTACAGATGAGGAAACTGAGGCTAGGAGAGATGAAGCAGATCGCCCTAATTCTAGCCATCTTTCTATTATGCCAAAGCATGTTCCTTGACTCTCATGCAAATGTATCTTAAAGATTCATTTAATAATGACAGCATTTACATAGCACTTAAGAAAGTTGTGGAATGCTTTGCTTATTCTATCTCATGTGAGCCTTACAACAATGCTGTGAGGGAAGTACTACCAACCCCATATTACAGATGAGGAAACTGAGGCTCAGAGCAGTTAAGTGATACCCACAGTTACAAAGCTAGCAAACCTGAGTTCTAATCCTGGCACAGTCACTAACTAGCTGTAAGTCACTCAGCCTCTCTTAGGCTCAGTGTCCCCATCTGCAAAAGGGAAATAATTATAGCTCCTACCTTACAGAGTTGTTGTAAAGATCAACTGGGATAGCATGTGTAAAATGCTTTGCAAACCTGAAAGTGCCACACAAATGTTAGCTATTTAATTATTATTATTATCAGGCTTCATCAGAACCTACAGAGGCAAATGAAGTCACACTTGTAAGACAGCTGGCAATTAGAATGATGGGATACATTTCTACACGACGGGCCATTGTTGAAGTCAACCTTCAAAGCTACTGGCAACGGATCAATTTTGGTCTCATAATGAGGCTGGATGTTTGAGATGAAAAATGCCTCCCTCAGCCTCCTTGTTGCTGTTCAACAGAGGGGGAGATCGCAGCTGGGACAGCCCAAAGGCTCCTGGCTAAGAAATGCCAGAGCTGGAGGTTTTTTCTATCATCCTCAAGCTGAAGCTGCTTCAATCTGCCCAATGAGTGGAATTAAATTTTAGTGTGGGAGACCAGCCTACACACTTATCTTCAAACATTTGCCTTCAAATATGCCTGCTCCTGACCAGCCAGTCAATGGGCGCTGTGCTTGTGTTTGCCAGCCAGAGAGAGGTAAGGGTCTGATAAGTACTTTGGGGAAGAGGAAAGAGCACTGGCCCTGGAGTCAGGAGTTCAAATCCATCCCAGGGATACCTGTTAGCTCTGGGGCCCCTTTCAGATAGGACCATAAATACCATGTTACAAGCTAAGTCTGACTCCCTCCTTTAAGGAAACAAGTCCAGGCCCATGAAGTGATTTGCCCAGGGAATCTGCATCAGAGATGAGATTTGACCCCAAATCTTCAGATTCCAAAGCCAGGGGTCTTCCCACTTTACCATGTTTACTTAACCTTTCTTTCCCAGTCTTTCTGCAAAATGGGGATCATAACAGGACCACCTGTTTCTTGGGGATATGGTGAGGCTCCAACAGGACAGTGTGAGTAAAACACTTCACAAACCTTAAAAATGCTATATAAATGAGAGCTATGATCAATCAATCAATAAGCATTCATTAAGCACCTACTATGTGTCTGCTGCTGTTGCTGTTTGTCCTGAGATCAGGAAGGTGATGCCCTGACATGGAAGTGAATTGGATTTAAGTGAGGGAAGGCTGTGCAAAGTAACCCGCCTCACTTTCTCCTCCTGAGCCATCTGGGTCCAGTGGCCAGATAACGGATCAAGAGAACTGGAGATGGCCCAGGATGCAGTGGGGGACCTTGGCCTTTTCAAGCTAAGGTCTTTAACAGGTCTCAGTTTGACTGAGGCAGCATCCATTCAGTGATTAAAGCTTAATAAAAAATGAGGCAAAGAATGGCCTCTTTAAAATAAAAAATAGATCTGGGAGGGGAAGATCCTGAGGGTTTCTGGTCAAAATAGAAACAACTGTTATTTACGTTCATTCTGAACCAATCAGAGCCCAAACAATGACCAAGGAGGGTTTGGCCTGCGACCTATTGTTGGTCAATCAAAGAGAGTCAGAGTGAGCTGGGGTTACAGGCACTGTGCTAAGCACTAGCAAAGAGGCAGCTTGATGGAATGGATAGAGGATAGGCATCAGAATCAGAAAGAACTAGGTTTAAATCACACCTCTGACATATACTGGCTACATGACCCTGGGCAAGTCACTTAGTAGGCCAGGCAACTCCTCAAGATTATGAGGTACATACCTCAAATGGCTTGCTCTCTCAATGAGGGAGGAGGAAAGGGAGGGAAGGAGAGAATTTAAAATTTTAAAAACAAGTGTTAAAATTGTTTTTAAACATAATTGGAAAAAATATTAAAAATGAAAAAATTATAAGGCACAGAGAAGACAGCAACTTGCATTTCCTCACTTGGAGCTCCTTTTTCTAGTCCAAAATGTTATTTAATAACATTATTTAATGTCAAAAATATTATTTATTTTTGTGCAAAGAAATTTAAAGCATGCATCACAACAGAGGGAGGAAGCAACATCCAACATTATGAGAGGAAAACTTTCAAAAAAGACTGTCCTCTTTTTAAAGTAAGGAAGTGAAGAGGAAAATCATAGAAAACCCAAGCACCTCTGGAAACGACTGTACCTAAGGAAGGTCCCTCGGGTTGGCCTGAGCAGGAAGACGCACTGCTCTTGGTGCCCCTGGATCAACGGGGTAGCAATGCTGACAGGTGCCTCGTCCAACTTCCTGAAGCTTACGGGCTGCCGGCACATGGGGCAAAGGTCAGGCACCCTAAAGCAGTAGACATCCCTTCCACAGTGGCGGAACTGGATGACAGCTCGGCCAGCCTCTGGAGGCTGCATTGCTGCAGCTGCAGCCTCTATGCATGAAATGACCGAAGCAAGCAAGACCCTTTCCAACTTCCTCCTCCCCTTCTCGGAACACCTGGCACTTGCCCCTCCAGTAGAGGCAACCAGATCAACCGTGACTTCATTCAGATGGACAGTCCTGGGAGCCAAACAGCTCAGAGCACCCAGGAACTGGGAGGCCCCACAAACCCTGTTCTTAAAGAGCCAGCCTCCTTTGGGGCATCCTCCGGAAGTTGGCACCTTGTGTGCCTAGACATGGGATCTCACCGCTCCTGGATTTTAGTTCATCGTTTAGTTCACCAATCATCATTTTTTAAAAATTATTTAGGAAAAGTTAAATGGAAAGAACAATGGAAGAAGAGGCAGGAGCTCTGGAGTCCTACCCCAACTCTGCTGTGAGGCAGCTGCATGACCTTGGGAAAATCTGGTCACTTTTCCCTGCCTCAGTTGCCTCTTCTGTATAACAAGGGAGTCAGATCTTGACGATCCCTTTCTATCTCTAAAATTCTTTGGTTCTAAAACTTAGAATGGATCCTAATAGATTTAAAGCTCCACATCTTTATAAACAGGGGTAAGAGAAGCAGCACTAGCTACAAATAGCTGTACTGATAAATTGGTAGAGATAAATAGCAAGAATAAGGAGAGATAGCAGGGTGTACTGGCTAGCTTGGTGGCATATAAATCAGGAATAACTGACACGTAATGGCTGGACAACCCAGATGGTGGTACTGTACAAAGAAATGGCAGTGCAGTAGACAGAGTAAACAGATTTAAAATTAAGAAGTCCTGAGTTCAAATCCTGCCTCAGACACTCACTAGCTGTGTGACCTTGGGTAAGTCACTTACCCTCTCTAAGTCTCAGTTTCTTTATCTGTAAAACAGAGATAATAATAGTATCTACATTGTTGATAGTATCAAGTGAAATAACATATGTAAAGCACTTAGCAAACATTAAAACACTCTATGAAAGCTAACCATTATTATTTGGTTGCTTAAGGATCTCATTAGTGTCAGTTTCACATCCTATCACCTCCTACTATCAAGCCATCCACTCAGTCCATCTCACCATCTGCCTAGCACCACTGGCATGCTCCTCTCCAACTGGACCAGCACCCTCTACACTGGACCTGGGACCTAGTCTCTATTCAATCACAGTTTTCCTGAATTCATGCCCCATTTCCTAGGGAAGTTAATCTCCTCACCATTGGTTTTTACACCCTAGGCTTGAGCCCAGCTGACTGGTGACTCAGTATGTACCACCTAATCCCTACTGCCTGGCCATGCTTCAGGTTCACATCCTATTCAGCCATCTAATTATCCACTCAGTCCATCTCACCATACACTTACCTCTGTGGATGTATCCCCCCCACCCCATTTCCACCTTTCCAGAACAAAGACCCCTTCCCTGGTTCCTTCTCCCTTGTACATAAAGAGGGGTTTGCCTTGGCAAGAAGAGTCACTTGTTCAAGTGAGACAGGCAGGGGTCCAGGAGCAAATAGCAGGAGAAGGCATCTGAATGATATATTCCCGACCCACTCCATGTTCTGATCACGCCATTCCTGGATCACATCTTTCACTTCACTTCTTGAATGTAAGCCATGATTGGTAACATTTTGCAGCCTGCTTATGCGCTCTCCATTGTCTTTCTGGTCACTTGCCATTGTGATTCACCAAAGACTCTGTTATTTTATTAATTCACTGTTACACAGCCTCACTGAGAGAATCCCAGTGTCAGAAATGAGGGGTTTGTGTTAGGGAGCAGTTTGGGATCCTTGAAAACATCATACAATTCTACAAAGTCACTCGTCTTATTATTCAGCCACCAGGCTCACCCTTGCTCTTACTATCATCATCCAAAAAGGTATCATGTCCATCTTCACAAACTCTGAAATTCCCTTTTTTGATCACAGCCTATTGCAATTCCACCCTCTCCCTGTGCCTCACAACCCTAAACCCTGTTCTTTACCCTCAGAACTTCCAATCACTCCACCCTTCTATTCTTTTCCAGGCAATAACCCTTGCTCTGGCTACACTCTCTTCCCCTTCCACATTCTGACACCCTTGGTAAACAAGTTCAACTCTGCCCTGTCCTCATCCCTTGTCTCCATATCCCTTCACCTATCTTGTTCTGCAAAGCCTCAGTCTTGGATTACTTCCGCCATCCACAGCTTTCACTCCTCATGTGCTGCTGAACAGGCCTGGAGAAAAACCAGGAAACTGTGCTAACTAGGTCCACTATAAACGTATGTTACATCATCTCAACTGGGTCTTCACTATGGCAAGGCAATTCCCATTAAATCACAAGCCCATTCACGACAGTGATTTTTCCAAACTTTTTCATCCCTCCTCAAATCTCCCCCAGCTCCCCCTCCCTCTTCCCTCTCACCCAAGAACCTTGCCTCATGTTCCACTGAAAAATCGAGGCCATTCTGTGAGAGCTCCCTCTTGTCCCCTGCTCTTCTCCCACCACCCAGTTGCTTTTGCCATCGTATCCTGATTCATCCCTGTCTCACTTGAAGAGAAGGCCCTTCTCCCTGCCAAGGTAAACCCCTCTTTATGCACAAGTGATCCTATTCTTTCCCATCTTCTCCAGCAGATTGTCCTCTCTATCATCCTCTTTCTCACTTACCTTCAATCTCTCCTCTGCTGACTCTATTGTCCACAAACACCTCTATTTGTTTCCCATCCTCACAAAAGCCCTTACTTGATCCATCCATCCCTACTAGCTACCATCCTACGTTTCTCCTCCCTTTTGTGGCTACACTCCTTCAGAAGATTGGCTACAATCTATGCTTCCACTCCCTTTTCTCTCATTCTCTTCTTAACTCTCTGTCCGGCTTCCAACCTCATCATTCAACCAAAACCAAAATTATGAACTGCCAAATGTGATGGTCTTTTCTCAATCCTCATCCTTCTGCAACAATCTGCAACCTCAAACACTGTTGATCACTCTCTTTTCCTTGATGTTGCTCTCTCTTGGTTCTCCTCCTATCTGACCACTCCTCAGTCTCTTCTGTTGGACGTTAATCTGGGTCGTGTCCATTAACCATGGGTGTCCCCCAAGGCTCTGTCCTGGGCCCTTTTATCTTCTTCCTCTACATTATTTCACTTGGTTATCTCATAACTTCCCTTGGACTGAATCATTATCTCTATGTTGATGATTCCCAGATCTATTTATCATTCAGTTTCACATCTCTGTCTACTGGACATCCTAAACTGGCTTCTCTGCTAAAATCTCATCTTCTCTAGCAAGCCTTCCCAGACCTCCTTTAGTGCTAGTGTCTTCCCTCTGTGATTATCTCCAGTTTATTCTGTCTCTAGCTTGTCTGTGAATAGTTGTCTCCTCCATTAGACTGTGAGTTCCTCTAGGCCAGGATGGGACTAATTTTTGTCTTTCTCTTGCATTAAACCCCAGTGATTAGCACAAGTTATTTAGCACAGAGTTGGTGGTTAATAAATTCTTACTGAATTAACAAGTGCTTGTTGGTTGACTGGGACCAGCTCTTTTTCCATTTTCTGTGCTTGTTCAAGACTCATGCACTGAACTCAGTGAACAGCCTGTCTTAATCATTATGTCATGTCATTGTTGTTCACTCATTTTCCATCATATCTGACTCTTTGTAACCCCATTTAGGGTTTCATTGGCAGAGATACTGCAGTGGTTGGCCAAGACGCACAATAATAATTTTCATCCACTTGGTTTTTCCTCTGTGGCTTTTTAGGTTGATTTCTTTTGAGTGGTCCTGGATCTCACTTAGGGGCCTTTATAATATTCTGGGACTTGGTACAATTGTTACAATGTAATTCACCAACAAAGGAATCTGGAGGTGCTAGGGATAAAAACCTGGCTGTTGTGTGTGCTATCAAGTGGAAGCTTTGTGAGAACTAGTTGGTTCTTCTAGATAGATTCACATTTTCAAGTGGGCCAGGTCCTTCTGTTCCCAGTTCTTTCCTTCAAGCAGGACTTTCACTCTGGCCCAGGCCCTTGCTCCACACCACAGGGGAGGGGTTTCTTTAAAGTGACCGCCAATGTGGAGCTGTGAGTTGATCCAACCATTCTAGAGAGCAGTTTGGAACTATGCCCAAAGGGCTATAAAACTGTGCATATCTATGGATCCAGGAATATCACTTCTAGGTCTATATCACAAAGAGATTGTAAAAATGGGGAAAGGACCCACATGTACAAAAATATTTATAGCGGCTCTTTTTGTTGTGGCAAAAAATTGGAAGTTGAGGGGATGCCCATCAACTGGAGAGTGGCTGAACAAGTTGTGGTATATGAATGTGATGGAATACTATTGTTCCATAAAAAATTATGAGCAGTAGACTTCAGAAAAACCTGGAAAGACTTATATGAACTGATGCTGAGTGAAATGAGCAGAACCAGGAGAACATTGTACACAGTAACAGCCACATTGTGTGATGGCTGACTTTGACAGACTTAGCTCTTCTCAGCAATGCATGGATCTAAGACAACTCCAAAAGACTTAACAATAGAAAACGCTATCCAGAGAAAGAATATTGGAATCTGAATGCAGATGGAAGCATACTATTTGTTTTCCTTTTCTTTTGTTGTTTTGTTTTGTTTCTTCTCTCTCGTGGTTCCTCCCATTAGTTTTTCTTCTTTACATCATGACTAATGTGAAAATATGTTTAATATGAATGCATAAGTAGAGCCTATGTTAGATTGCATGCCATCTTGGGGAGGTGGAAGGAGAGCAAGAGGGAGAAAATTAAAAACTCAAAATCTTATGGAAGTGAATGTTGAAAATTAAAAATTAATTATTAATAATAAATAAACAAAGTGAACTCCAATGGAACAATGGACAAATCAAAGGGCCTAAGGCGATCATCTTAAGAGCAGCTTTCTTTCCCTTCCTCCACCAGGACTGCAAGCCTCTGGTTCATTTGTCACCTTGGAATCTTGGTCCTTTAGTTCTCTACTTTGGGAGGCTATATGAATACAGAGCAATCGACACAAGTGTTTATTAAGCACCTACTATGCGCCATGACTTAGGGCAGTAAGAAGATAGAGCACCAGCCATGGAATCAGGAGAGTTTGAGTTCAAA